TGGCAAAAGGTGATCTGGGGAGCTTGGAACTGCTGAGAACGTTGCGTGTTCAACAGACTGTTGCGTCTGTGTGTCCTCCCGTAATCCATGGAGCTGATCTCAGGCCAATTACCGGAAAACTCCAACCAAAATGAGCAAGCCAAGGCAGCCCAGAACAGAAGGATCTACACAAGAGCCAGGGGGGGAGACAAGAGCCCTGCAAGTTTGGCACTTAGCTAGAAGTCTTGTAAAGTCGGAAGCGGGTTCCCCGCTACCAGTAAGAAACATGGGTGAGGGTTGAGGCTTGGACCTTCGCTACACCAAGAATCGACCAAGGAATATCGGTAGCTGGGGAGGCTGAAGACAATCCCTCGAATCGGTCAAAGTGTCCTTCAATGGATGGCGATATGGGGAAGTGTCATTTGACCGTCATTATATCCATATCGCACATGATCACCCTGTCACCACATTAAATGAGCAAATTTCCGTCCGTCATTTGAAGATCCTACCCTTTGTCCCCGCCCCAACATCTTCGCCTGGCAATCCTCCCATCCGAAACTTCCAACCCCCTGTAATCACACGTGTAAGTATTCGTCTAGGTGCATCAATTGTGGCAAGGACGAACTCTGCTCGGCAATGCATCTCCTTTGACACAAAAAACCCATGTTTGCCGTTGGCTGGATAGCTGCTTCGTCCACGCCGTCCAAACATCCACTGGGGCGGGATGTGTATCACCCATTGACAACGTGCAGCCGGGAGGACGCCGCTCCCGATGGGCCAGGCTATCGCCGCCGCTGCTGAGCTGAATTCCTGTTCGTCAAAGACTAGAGGGTTCGCTAAGAGAAATGGCCCATTGTTGACCTCGATAAAGTCGGCCTCGAACACATGGGACTAACCACGCTCTTCTCCACGACCCTTTCTGTGCACGTTTTTCTCTTTCTCTCTCTCTCTCTCTCTTTTCCCTCTCTCCCTCTCTCTTCCTTGTTCAGCCTTGTAAAAAGTCATTCCTGATCCCAGCTCTTTTTTCCCAATCAAGACCTGTTCCACGATATATCTTTCCCCAAACTAACCTTTGGGAAATATACCTACCATGTCCGACCACAGCGAAGCTTACGAGCTGCATAAGGTGGACAAAGATGTGCAGTTGACGGTCAATCGTTTTGGAAACCATAAAACCAGTGATCATGCGGAATCAGGTTATGGCGCAGCCTCGAACGTGGGCGGAAATGGACAAACGATCGAGAGCGTGACAAGAGTTCGGAGGTTGTTCAGCTTCTCCCAGATCTTTGCCTTTTCTTTGACCTTTATGAGCACGTGGGAAGGAATGAATACGTGAGTGTCCTCGTAGAAGCAGATTAATCGCGTGGGTAAAAGCTGACCAGTGACAGGAATATGTTTTTTGCTCTTTACAACGGAGGTCCGCAGACGTTTGCCTGGAGCGTCGTGATTGTCTATTTTGGGGCCATCGCACAAGCTGCATCCATCGCCGAGATGGCTTCAACAATTCCCATTGCCGGCGCCCAGTACCACTGGACGTACAACCTCGCGCCGTCGAACATGAAAAGATTCATCACCTGGATGCAGGGCTGGATGACGTGGTTTGGATGGGTTTCTTTGCTCGCCGGCATCGCAAATATTACCGCCATCATTCTGCAGCAGTTGGCGATGCTCAATCATCCCAGCTATGTCCCCGAGACCTGGCACATCACACTGATCATGATCGCCATCCTCCTTGTCCAGGGTCTGATCAATTCTTTCGGCACGACCTTTGCTGTGGTGCCCTGGCTTGAGCTTGTGGCGGGAATATTGCACGTCTGTCTGTTTGTCCTGTTTCTGGTTGTGTTGGTTGTCATGGGCAGCCGCCACAGCGCCGAGTTCATCTTCTTGGAACGGTCCATATCCTCAGGCTGGACGGACACGTATATTGCGTGGAATCTGGGTATGCTCACCTGTGCGTGGAGTTTCACTGGATTTGACGACTCGTGCCATCTCAGTGAGGAAACAAAGAAGGCTCCTCAGGCGGTGCCACGCGCTACATTCTGGTCAATTGCCTTGAACGGTGTCCTTGCATACGCCATGGTGATTGCCATCCTCAGTGCCATGGGACCCATTGACGAAGTGCTCAACTCTGGTTTCCCCATCATCACCATCCTCCTCCGCGTTACTGGATCTGTCAAAGCGACCACTGCGATGGTCTGCGGACTTTTTGTCATTTCGTTCTGTGTCAACATTGCGTCCATCGCCTCGGTGTCGCGACTGACTTGGGCTTGGTCCCGGGATGGTGGCTTACCCCGATGGTTTGCGCTTGTGGACTCGACCCACCACGTGCCAATACGATCGATCTGGCTCTCGCTTGTCGTTGTCATGCTGCTGTCGCTCCTCAACATCGGCTCCACAACCGCCTTTGGAGCCATCACGGCACTGTCCTCGCTAGCGTTGTACTTTTCGTACGGCACTGCCATATCAGCAATGTTGTTGGCGCGGTGGACCTCGTCGCACGGAGGCAAACCTCTGGAGCTGGGGGGATGGAACTTGGGCCGGTACGGAGTCTACATCAACAGCTTCGCGCTCGTCTATACGCTGTACATCATGGTGTTCCTGCCGATTCCGAGCACGCTGCCCGTGACGGCCTCGAACATGAACTACGCGGGACCGATCTTCCTGTTTGTGTTTTTCTTCGCCATCGCCTTGTGGTTCCTGCGCGCGCGGAAGCACTGGCCCGGTCCGAACGTCGCCGTCATCGATTTTGTCAAGGCGCAGGAATGAACATGTTAGTAAGGGCGGGGAGGAGAGAGGTCGTGCGGATTTCCGCTGGCGGTCTGTTATGTCCCCTCCAGCCACTGGCTATGTATATGAAACGGCGAGATGTATATACCTAGATAGCCAACGTCGATCCCCAGATCTTTGACCAAATTCTACCTGTGCAGAAATCTATACATGGACATCCGCTGCGATGTTAACGTCGTTTTTTTTTTTGGAGGAGAAAAAGCCGAGTCCGTATAAAACTCGGATGACCTTGGTCATTTGTATTCCACGTCACTCGGTACTCGTAGGTAGATGGCTCTAAAGTCATTGAAGAGCCCTCGTTAATTTAAAGAACATTAAGGTGGGTGGACAAGGAGATTGCGAAAGTCTATTGTCAGTGGCACCAGGTGGATTTGTCCAGACGGCAAGCGCACAAGGCGATTAACCAAAAGAGGTTAGTGCGTCCTCGGCTCACTTTCCTTCTACCCAAGAATTTTCGAATCGAAAATTATTTCATGTTTTTTCCCCCAAGCGCAGTGGAAACCCAGACGTCGGGACCACCACACCAGCAATATCTCTCCAGTTCTAACCCTCTTTCACCGGCCTGTCGATCCCATACCCTCCGTCATGCCTCCGTCGAAGCGCAACAGAGTCGTCCCGACGTCCAAGGTGCGGAAAAACAGAAAAGAGCTGGTCCGCCGACTCGCTGCAAATGTACAGGACGCCGCCGAAAAGTACTCGTACATCTGGGTTTTTGACGTCCAAAATACCCGCAACAACTTCCTGAAGCAGGTCAGAGCAGACTTTGGTGACTCGAGGATCATGATGGGGAAGAATAAGGTCTTGATGGTGGGACTGGGACAGACGGAGGAGACCGAGTGCGTGCCCGGGGTTCGTGCCCTGGCTCCGTATGTGAAGGGGGAGGTCGGGCTGCTCTTCACAGATCAAGAACCCGAGAAGATTGAAGAATATTTTGCAGATTGGTTGAATCAGGACTTTGCCAGGAGTGGCAACGTCGCCACTCGGGACGTCAGGATACCTCCCGGGGAGATTCATACTCAGTACGGCGTCGAAGGCGGTGAGGATGATCCCCTGCCGGTCCAGATCGAACCGACGCTTCGAAAACTAGGGATACCCACTCGTCTCGTGAAGGGCAAGGTCGTGTTGGAAGAGCACCCGGACGGGTCGATGGACGAGGAAGAGGGGTACCTTGTCTGCAAAGAGGGGGATACGCTCGACTCACGACAGACGTCCATCTTGAAGATTCTGGGTGTGCGCATGTCGGAGTTCAGAATCGGGTTGAGGGCAGTATTTGACAAGAGCACGTCGACGGTGCGGGAACTCGGGGCTATGGAGGTTGACGACACCAAGGTTTCGTGAGGCTCTCTGGACTTTGCTGCGACTTGACCAGGTTCTCACCAATTTGCATCTGGAGCGGCTCAGGATGCACTCACAAGATGCACTCTTGTACTCCTGTGCACCTGCGAACTACTGGATATCACACCTTTCGTCACCGAGAGACCCAACCTCAATGTCGACTTGGCGAAGTCTTCGACCATCCGGGGAACTACCATTGCATGACTGATCCCCTAGTCATCTTTGTGGATGCTGCTCCCATGTTGCCGGCTGTCATCCAGCATGGACCTTCAAAATCTGGGTGTCGAGCTTCTGCGATATGTCGGTTGCACTTCGTCATTCCGACAGACAACCGCAACCGCAAACGTTCAAGACAATCGCCACTTAGCGGTGACGTGAAGATACATCCGATGCTCAACCTTTGTAAATATCATCTTCAGAACGAAGGAAATGTGTTCGGACTTTGGCGCAGGGTACAACATTTGCCGATGCTTGTCAGCCTTGGCCAGACTATATCCCAGAGCACTTGCCGAGGAAGCCACCCGCGTCACACCGCCAAGCAGTGACATTGTGCATGGTCAGCATATCATTTCCCAAATTTGTCCATATTGGCGAATGGAGAAGGGAGAGGGACCAGGGAAGATGCGGGGACGAATAGAGAGAAACCTGTATGTTTGTTAAAACCTGGACCATTTCTCCTCCCTGCCTGTGTCGGATTTGGACGTTGGAGCTTTCTGCTTTTCTACCTCGTCTCCGAGCAGCATAACAGGCAAGGTCTTCAGTGTCTCCCTCTTCTCCTACAATTCAAGACAAGTGCCCCAAGATGGTGAACCTCACACAAGTAAGTAGTCGTTGGCAGGTTCGTTGTGGCTGCCTCAAGTAATCTAGACATTTGAATGAATGAACGAATGACAATTACCATGTCGTCCGACCAGATCCAGCGCGATCTCATCTCGGCGAACCACATCTTGCATTTCACGTCGGTGCTCGACGCCTACGGGCACATTTCTGCGCGGCACCCGCTCGACGCGTCGACGTACCTCATGTCCGCCAACATGGCGCCCGCGCTGGTCAGCAACGCCAGCGACCTCGTGCAGTATCGCGTGAACGACTCGACGGCCGTCGACCCGGACGCGCCCAGGGGGTACATCGAGCGGTACATCCACGGGGAGATGTACAGGCGGTTTCCGGACGTCGGGTGCGTGATCCACAGCCACAGCGAGGACGTGCTGCCGTACGCCATCGCCGGAGTCCCGCTGCGCGCCGTGTACCACATGGCGGGCTTCCTCGGACCGGGGCCCGCCCCGCTGTACGACGTCGAGGAGTCCTACAACGCCACCGAGCCGCACGACCTGCTGATCCGCACGCCGAAGCTCGGCCAAGATCTGGCCGGGACGTTTGTCTCGGCGACAAACGTGTCCGCCACCACGCCCGATTACACCGTCGTGCTGATGCGCCGCCACGGCTTCACCACCGCCGCGGCTGATATCCAGACGGCTGTCTTCCAAGCCATCTTCACGCAGTCCAACGCCAAAGCGCAGACGACGGCGACGCTGCTCCGAGGCGCCTTTGCCGGCCTGCCGGGCGACGAGGCCAGAGCGTGGAGCGGCGGCGGCGGTTCTGGCGGTAGCAACGGGGAGACGAGTGCCTTTGAGCCCCTGACCGCCCAGCAAGCGCGGGACTGCGAGGTTTCGATCGGTGCGACCTCGGACCGGCCGTGGGGGTTGTGGCTGAAGGAGGTTGAGAATGATAGCTTGTACACCAATAACGTGGTGCTGGAGTGATTCATGATGTAGCCTTTGTATATCTCGGTCGTTTAAATGGCTTGATCGACCACTGACTCTCTTATCGACCGCTCCCTCCCAATTTGAAATAGTCTGGTGTGCTACGGACAAGGGGAAATTGTCGTCACCGGGTGCGAATTACGACACCACTACAATACTGTCACGGACAAGCCCGGGGCTCCAGCCTTGGATCGGTTACTAGAAGAAGAAGAGAATGATGCTGGCCGAGGCAATACACTTGTCGGAGGAAGTAGTTGCATTGGCGCCGAAGGGACGTAATGAATGTCCTAAAGGCAGCCTCGTTGAGCATCTCACATGACATTAGGACGGTCCAGGTAGTCCCTCACGCGTTCCAAGCCTACGATGCAAGCGCGCTGTGCCTTCCCCCGCGGCTCATATTGTTTAGTGGCAAAAGCACTGTCTCAAGCCCATCGGGTTCCGTGTGAGCAAACGGATCGCCTTTCGTTCGATCAAGTATATCGACGAAATACTTGGGACATATGGTGAACTCGCTATCATCCCGAGTATTGGATGTGCTGGGCCGGTCTTCGTTCTTTTCAAGCCCAGGTGGGATAGGATACCACGTCAGCCTGGACAAAGCGAGACTCAACCTCCACGAAAATTGACTCGGAACGAACAGACCCTTGACATCGACCCAATATTCTTTGCCGACCACGTCGTGATCAATTACGCCGAGATCGAGAAGTCCCCGGCTCCTCCCCTCAGTTGCCCTAGCTCCATCTCAGATTGCATCTCAAGCAGACAGGGTCGACATCCATTTCCAGCAGATTGTTGATCTCGGTGCCGAAGAGGCGTTTCGAAATTCTACGTGGATCTTCAACACGGCGGCAAATGTGCACCGCACCGTCAGGCGCTTACCGCCACTCTCTGGACGCCAGTTGGGCATCGCTCGGAGCTGTTGTTCAGTTTTGGTGAAACCATTTGGTCAGTCTTGGATCGCTAAGTTTTTCGAGACTTCCTTCCTCCCCAGAAACAAATAGAGCCAAGCAAGCATCTGACCGAGATTTGTCACAAGCATTGATCCTCGTTGACTCGACAACCTCTAACATCTCGTGCGGCGGAACTTCTTGCCACATCCGCAGATTCCCTCTCCATAATGGCACCAAAGATTTTCGGACGCCGATCCTGTTTTCTGCCTTTCAATCTCAGAGACATCAACCGGATCCTCCTTCCGCCTCCACTTCCTTGGTCCAAATCCTCCGGGACTGCTTTGTCGAGAGTCTGCCGACTTTCGAGCACGCCAAACCCAGCGTTCTGAATCTGGCATACTACCCGCTGAGAATAGTGGTTGGCGAATGGATGTTATATGGCCAGGTCATGGCTCGGTATCTGGCGCACGACGAATACTCTTTCAAAGACATCGAGATGGTTCTTCGCGGCGAGAGAGACGACATGGTTGAACTCCAGAAATGGCGCCACCGCGCCATCCAGTCGCAGTTCAAGATCCAATCCACGAGACGGTTCGTCGCTTATTGTTTGGCTCAGAGCCCGGCCGAGAAGGAGCGCGGTCCGTGGGATTTGATCTTGAACGACTTGGACCACCTGTCCACCAAAATCGAAGTGTACGGCCAGTCGATGGAGCGCATGGTCTCGGTGGTGACATCAATGTTCCAGCTCATCGACTCCCGTCGGTCGATCGCTGAGACCATCAATGTGAGACGGCTGACCATCACCGCCCTGATTTTTGTGCCCCTGTCGTGGGTTGCGAGCTTGTTCAGCATGACTGATGACTTTGCCCCGGGTCAGTCGAGGTTTTGGCTATATTTTGCTGTTGCTGTCCCGCTTTGCTTCACCATCGGCGCTTTCTCACTACTGGCAGACTTCTAGTTTATCTCTAACCTTTCGATGCTCCTGGTTTAGAGCTCTTATTCAAGACGACAGGACCTAGATATATATGTCACGGGACGGCCAGGCCGAGGCCTAATGTTGTCGCCCATGCCCGCCAAAGCCAGATCTGTGGCGCCCGTCTTGTAGATGAGTGCATGTCTAACAGCTAGACTATCTCGCGGCCATCCAGTGATATATACGCGGGAATCCTAATCTCGTCAATACATCTTAAGCCGAGACTTTCCGACAATTGGCTCGTCCTAAAGTCTGGGATACTTTCTTTGGGCGAGATGACTCACTGGTTTGGGGGCATAGTTGTTGAACTTGGGAGGGGGTGTATGCGTGTCTGGGGCTGGTTTAAAACTGCGCTCATACATACTACGAAACTACCACCCACGAAAACCCACGAATGTTAATCCCAAGGAGAAAAATCAGAGTATGAGTGATGAAACGATATATATTTGATTAAGAATAAAACATCCTTCCAACCCCAAATACCCGGTACCCTGTGTGTATGGCATATATGGCATACATGGTATGGTACGGTATGAGATGATGGTATAGATGGCATGATGTACTGGATCTCTCTTTGTGACCGGGTTGATTTCGTAAAACCCAATTCATTTCCCTTCAACCCCACCCACGCCGTGCACCAAAAAGAAAGTAATAGGGAAAAAGTAATTGAAAAAATGAAGAACCAAAAAAAAACACTCCCTTGTCGCCGCCGCCGCCGTCGTCGTGTAGCGTATGGATGTACATACATATTAGTCCAGATTATCCATCGCGCGGTGCCATCTGATATCGTCCGTCTGTCCGTCTGTCCGTCTGTCCGTCTGTCTGTCCGTCCGTGATTAAAAACTCGATTTCGACTCGACGTCGAAGTCGAGATGTGATATGATATGATCATCCCATAACCTATGAGTTCATCCCTGAGGAGTCTAGATACCTACCTATGCATAGATAGGTAGGTATCTAGACGGGGTAGTTGAAAAGTTAGGGGGAGAAATGGAGGCAGGGTTGAATGATTTAGTACTGCCAGCCCGCGCCCCAAAGGCTCGCACCCACAGCCTCCTCAGTCGCGTTGCCCGAGATGGCGTCGGACCGTTTCACGAGGCCTCCGCCACAGCCGACGGCGCAGTACGAGAAACCACAGCAGTTGTTGTCGAGAATACAGATGGATCCGAGGCAGTCGTCGTCGGTGGTACACCCGACGGCCGAGGGGCATTCAACGTTTTCGAGGCAGAGCGAGAGGCCCAAGATGGTGCCGAAGCAGAAGCATGAGTCGCTGCCGCCGCAGGTGCCGAAGAGGCCGCATTCGCCTGGGGTGTTGCATGTTGGGGCGGGAGGGGCGGAAGATGTCGTTGTCGTCGTGGTGCTGGTGGTGCTGGTGCCGCTGGTGGTTGTGGTCTCAGACGTGGTGCTGGTTGTCTCAGACGACGTGGTGGAGGTCGCAGACGAAGACGTGGTCGACTGAGGCCCATTCGGTGTGGTAGCCTCCGATGAGGTTGTCGTCGTGTCAGACGAAGTGGTGGTCGTAGTCTCGGGCGTGGTGGTGGTAGTTTCAGACGAAGTGGTGGATGTAACCAGTGTTGATGTTGTGGTGGGAACAGTGGTCGTGGTCGAGCTTGCAGCGGAGCTGGACGTAGAGCTGGAGGTCGAGCTCGTGTTCAGGATTGGGCCGGTGTCCGAGCTCGAGCTTGAGCTCGTGCTTGAGGACCCGTCGGTGCTGGAGGTCGAGCTCGTGGCTCCACTCGTGGTCGTGCTCAAAGTGGAGCTTGTGCTCGAGGTTTCGCTCGTGGCAGAACTCGAGGTCGCGGTCGTGCTTGTGGCAGAGCTGGAAGTCGAGCTGGAAGTCGAGCTTGTGTTCAGGATTGGGCCGGTGTCCGAGCTCGAGCTCGAGCTTGTGCTTGAGGATCCGCTCGTGCTAGAGGTCTCACTAGTAGCAGTAGTCGTGGTCATGGTCGAGCTTGTAGCAGAGCTGGAAGTCGAGCTTGTATTCAAAATCGGGCCAGTGTCCGAGCTCGAGCTCGTGCTTGAGGTCTCACTGGTAGCAGTAGTCGAGGTCGAGGCTTCGCTGGTTGTGGAGCTTGTGGAGCTCGTGTTCAGGATCGGGCCGGTGTCCTGGCTCGAGGTCGAGGTAGAGCTCTCGCTGGTGGTGGTAGTCGTGGTCGTCTCCGAAGTGAACGAGGTAGTAGTCTCAGTGCTGGTCGTAGTTCCAAGGATGGGTCCACCCGTGCTAGAAGAGGTCGAGGTCACTGCGCATGGCGTCGGTGTCTGGATGCACGAGCAAAACGTCGAGATGGCACTCGCCGGACCAGCCATGATAGCTGACCATAGTCGCGCATCATAGTCGACAGGCGAAGGCGTTGGCGAAGGCTGGTTGGGATAGCCGGGGTTGTTGGGGTTGTTGGGGTAGTTGGGATAGCTAGGTTGGCCCCTGTTGCCGCCGTAGGCAGGCGCAGGCTGACCCCGGTTACCACCGTAGACGGGCGCAGGTTGGCCCCGGTTACCGCCATAGACGGGCGCAGGCTGACCGCGATTACCGCCATAAACAGGCGCAGGCTGACCCCGGTTGTTGGAGTAGTAGACAGGCTGGCCCCGATTGCCCCGGAACGGGAAAGCCCTGCGGCGGTTGGCAGCCTCAATGGTACATGTTGGGGGATAGATGGCCGCGCAGTAGTCCTGGGCCGGGGAGTAGTCAGCTAGTTCGGTGTAGACGCTGTTGGAGCAGACATCAGTTGGGACGGCGATGGTCAGAGACACGCAGGAGAGGAAGGACAAGAGAGTGACCAAAAGAGTGGACGGAGAAGATCCCCAAGTCGCCATTGTGAGCTGGCGTGTGTTGTTTCGAAGAAAAGATACAAAAGAGTGTATGTTGGTGAGATGAAGAGAAGAAATGTTCCTACCTGGGCACGGGCTCTGGACATTAATATACCATCATGGGCGTACCGTGGACAGCACTCTGAGGGCTCAAAACATTGACGTCGTGGACCCAATACCAACGATACTACGATGAAGCTGTTTGTTGTTTGTTTCCATCAATACCCATTGTAGATCAGTATGATTGTTTATGATGGGCAGGCTGAGCAGATGAGGTGAATGAATCTACTGGGTGAATCGATATAAGCTTTTAAAGTCAGTGCCAAGGCTAAACTGTTCCGAGTTCGGGATAGTAACGTCTAGTATCGATGATCTAGCGCGTATCCCCCATACCAAGATTAGATAGTGTGAAGACTGTGGGGCTGCTCCGCTTTTACTATTGGCTGTATCGCCACAAAATAATCACCACCACAATCAAGATCGACAGAACGGGTCAGGGGTTGTCGAAATAGGGAGCCCCCGATCCGGGGCACGGCTTGTACCGTTGGACCAAATCCCCCGGTCTGCTGGTTACCTTTGAGTTAGACTAATACAACAACACACGCTCTGCTCACATGCCACACCGGATGGTGTATCCGCGCCCAGTCAAAAAGACATCAGAGAGAGTGAATTCACTCCACATGCAGTAAAGTGTTTTGTTCCACCCCTCCCTCCGGCGAAAGTTTGCGAGCTCAGTGGCAATAAATAGTATGCACGAACAAATGAGAAGAGGGTGGTGAGACTGATCCGATCCCGGGTTTCGCCCTCAACTAACAAAGTCACCCTCACTGAGCCCAGGAGCCTCGTTTCGAGTCGAGGATCGACAACGCTTTCCCTGGCCAAGCCTTTGTCTATGTGGATTTCGACGAGGCAGAATGAGGCTGAATTTATCCCACCCAGTAGTTTTGTTTCCTTGACACACCTAAAACACTGGCCATCTCTTTGAGAATCCCCAACGGGCAGCAATCTTATCCTTTTCAGCTGCTTGTCAACATTGCTGAAGGCGCACTACATGGGCGCAGATTATGGCTGGTACTTGGCATCTTGACAAGATTAATCAATACCTGGTACACAGGTGATTTGCGGCTGACCCTGCCGGACCTTTTCGGAGGGATACTGCGTATCAGCCTCGTGTCTTGTTGTTCTGGAAGAGGGCCACGCCTCGAGTTCGGGAAGAGATTGCTCGCGTTTATCTTGGCGCCTTATTTTGACGAAATGCATGCCCATTTCACTCCAGTGTCCGCTGGAGTCCATACAATGAGAACGTACGGAGTGGAAGCATGTCTCCCTTTGCCTGGTGGTTATTGACGCCGATCACATGATACCCCCTGGTGCAATTCATGGCCTGACATTTTCAACAATCCATGCCTGGATGTATACAGCGGTGAGTCCTGACCTCTCCAGATCCAACTGTGTTTGCAACGAAAGAAGGCCAACGACCGTTACACCCGTCATTCGAGTCTGACAGTCCCAAGAAGTCGATCTGTCAACAATCATCGTGATCTTCGGAACTAGCCACGACGGTCGCGGTCTTGCCAACTCGTCGACCTGATGGTGGAGGTCGTATCGATCTGATAGGTTTTCCGGAGCGTTGTGTCATGTTGTTACTGGTAATCTCCCACCGTTTCGCGAATGGGATGTGAAGACTGCAGCCATCTTGCTCAACCATTAGGTTGTCGTCCTCGAGCGGGTCGCTTGCGTCTCTGTTTATTGTCCCAGGGAATATGCCGGCGTCGTAGCAGAATGAGAAGGACGGGGTCTGGGGCCTCATGATTGGTGATGGGTTTGGCTTCTTTGGAGCATAGCCTCAATGGTTAGACTGGACGTCGTGATGTGATGCGACCTCCTGCCTATGCCAACCCGGAACAGTAATCACATCCAGCTCGTGGAGATGTAGTTTCCGCCAAAGCCGCAACAGAAATTGCCACCGCTGGTCTCTCAGTATTGTTCGTATACGCCGGCTTTTTCCTCCTAACTCGTGGAGCGTATAGGTTTTGCGCCATTGAGGGGAGCTGAGTGGTGGTTAGTGGCTCGCTTGCATGAAAGGTGACCTGCGATCAGGTATCCCGAATGTCGATCCTCGTGACTGCTTGAAATAGTTCCTTAGCCACGCTCGCAAAAAAATCCCCGCCGCAATAATGGCTTTGCACAATTGGTGGCCCATTCCAGCGCCCAGCTGGATAGAATCTCAAGCCACGCTTGCCTGTAAACGCCACAATTTTCCCGTCCTTTCCGAGATTGGCGTGTCTCTTGTTGTGGTAGGCCATGGTCGAGAGCCACAACGATCTGAGACGGATGGCGAATCCGCGTGGCGCCAGTGGACATGAACTTGAGGGTGAAATTCCATGAATTGTCGTGGCTGATACACTGCGACTATCTTGCGCTGGACAGCCATTTCCATTAGAGTCTGAGGTAGTTTTGCCCTTTGAAGGAGGTCGCAAAGGAGGATTATATTCACTCTAGAAAGATAGAGATTAGGTCGAGCGCGGGCGGTCGTGCTTTGCGAGCGGGAGTACAGGGGCACAGCGAGGGATCGCTTGGTGATGCTCATGTTCCTTACCCAGCAGGCAGCCTATAAGTTGAACACATTTTTGCCGGAATTCGGACGCCCAGCTCCTGTATCACCGTCAGGGGCAGGGTAACTGATTCGCCAGTCGATGTATTAGACATTGAGACATGCTCAACCTCACTGCGTTGTACTCACTGAATTCCGCATTCGGAAAGGGAAGTCCTTGACGAAATAGGAAATACCTCGCCAAGGCTGAGAACAATGCCCACGCTGATTGGCTGAGAGCATCTCTGTCCCAATCCGGAAGAGCCGACACGATTCATCGCTCACCTATGTGACTAGCCATGTAAGCGACCCGATCCAACCATTGAGGCTGGCTAGTTAGGCTACAATACCTGTATCGTTACTCAGCACAGTCAATACAGCATAGGATATAACCAAAAGTTCCAAGGAGCCGCACATAACACATGGCTGCCGACTGTGCTTTTGCGCCAGTCTCATCTGCCTCCATGCGAGCGTCCACGTAGCGATCTAAAAAAAGCCGGTGTGTCGCTTGTTACTCCAGTAGGTAATCTCGTGCTGCCTACTCGATGGTTCGTGTGAGCTAGCATGGTTTGGTTAGGCATCGTGGAGGTAGGTCTATTTCGTTTTCAAAGGAAGTTTCAGAAAATAATTAAATTTGGGAAATAAATTACTTTCCCCAACTACGAATTGTTACGAAGCACAACTCAACTTCTTCACACCAAGAGCAACACTAGAAAAAAGATTCTGACACATCATCTAGGGAAGATGAAATCTCTAACTCGAAGGTAAAAATTGTCGAAGATGACAGTGCAGTATTCCTGGCTCTGCTGCGAAGCCAGGTAAATGAATCCAGCCATGCCCGCAACTCTTCCGCGAGCTCCTCGACTCGGCTGTTGAAAGCATCAGTACACCACCACTTTTCGCAGCGACTTTTCTCAAATGCAGAAGAAGATGACGTCGCGCGTGCTCTGAGCCCTTTCACCGGGAGCTTGCACCTCACATACGATTCAAACATTGGATGCGTCTTACATCCCACACTTCGGCTTCGGCCTCGGCAGCGGCAGCGGTGGCGGTGGCAGATCCGTGATTTGTACTGGGTAGGTCCTAGTCAGTGAAACGACTCCTGTTTGACATGCGCAAAAAAAAAAAAAAAACAAAACAAAAAAACGAGTGGAACTAAGCAGTTTCGCAAGACCCTGACGGACGACTTGTAAGCACTTCCCAAAAATCAGGGCCGGTTTCATCGAGCTACTCGCAACTACAAATCTATCCAATCTACCACCGGGGGGGGGGGGGGGGCAAATAGCCTAATATGTCTTTGGGATAATTCCCCCGTTCTTCATGGGTGGCAGAACAAAGTGCCGGACTCAAGACCCCCAGAAGATCCAAAGGAGCTGACGGCTCATTCGTTTCCTCACGGCTGACCCTTGCCTTGCATACGTTGATGTGGTCAGACCCATGTATTTAACCCGTCTTCTCGTGAATCTCGTCCACATGGGTGACCTCGACACCGAACCCATGGTCCCCGCCTTTTCTGGAAGCGCCGATCTCGGTAATATCCTCCACACCGATGGCCTCGGTGGCCTTTTGCTTGATCTCCTCGACGGCGTCGGCGCCGTCAAACGTCCGGTTGATCTCCTCGAGGGTGGCACCGCGGGTCTCGATGAAGAAGAAATACACGGTGACGAGCTGGATGATCAGCCACCCCTCAAAAAAGAAGTAGAACTTCCAGCTGCCGGCGGCGATGCCGATGGGGATGATGTACTGAGACAGGGCCAGGCAGATGTTGGTGGCGAGGCCCTGCATGAACAGGCCGTTGGCGCGGATCTTGAAGCTCAGGATCTCAAGAGGGTAGCCGATGTTGAGGGAGATCCTGACGGGGGCACAGTATGTCAGTGAAGGTCGAGGAAGAACCTGTCTCAATAAAAAAAAAAAGGCAACCTACCAGGCAAAATTGTAGAAGAAGTTGTGGAAGAAAATCATGGCGATGACACCCTTTCCGAATCCAACTTGCTTCGGATGCTGGAGCTGGGACGCCGTCAAGGCAATCCAGATGGCAAACGTGCAGCACATGCCGCTCGAGGCGATCAGGAAGAGTGGCCGACGGCCGAACCGGTCGACCATGCACGCCCAGAACCAGGCTTCAAACATGTTGACCATCAGGATGAAGCCGTTGAGCATGTTCTGGTAGTTTGGGCTGTCGATTCCGATGTTTTGAAGGATGTTGTGCAGGTAATATGCCGTCAGGCTGGTGCCGGAAAATTGAGAGAAGACGCCGCAGCAGAGGCAGATGAAGACGCGGTAACGGTTGCCACCTGAAAGAGAGAAAATCTGTCAGAGCAATGCGACGTCTTATTCCCTGGAACAGTTATTACTCACGGGTTCTGAACAACTCGGACCAGCGACCCTTTTGTTCGCCCTGGCCGATCGAAGCCTTCATCTCAGCATATTCAAAGCGGACTAGAGGATCGTCCCGATCGCCGTTGGCATGGTACTTTGCGAGGATGGCGAGGGCTTTTTCGTCCTTGCCCCGAGACATGAGCCAGCGGGGAGACTCTGGCAGCAAGATAACGAGGAGCACCTGGACGAATGAAGGTGCGGATTGGAGCAAGCTGGGGAGTCTCCATGACCAGTTCGACTTGATGTAGAGAGTGCCAAAGGTGATCCCTGGAGACAGGTCAGTATAACATCTCCGGGAGTGAACCACATTCAACTCACAGCCTCCAAGAAATGCACCAAAGTAGTATTGAGTGCTACAAGATGGTTAACCCATATGAAGTCGTAACTGTTGAGGGAGAGACGTACTTGTACAAGGCACTGATCTTGCCTCGCTCACAGGGGTGGGCAAGTTCGGTGATGAGCAACGGTGAAGCCAGACCAGAGAAGCCAGATCCAAGACCAACTGACAGAGAAAGGAATTAGTCGAGTTTGACCCCGGCGGAGAGAGCGGTCGTCTTTTGGGGGGGGGGGGGGGGGGGATGGCTCCTTACTCAGGAAACGAGCAGCAGTGAACATGTGGATGTTCACAGACAAACACTGAAGGATACCGGCGACGACCACGATGAGGCAGCCGACGAAAATCGTCCACTTTCGCCCGCCATAATCGGCACTGTACGGGGCCAGAATCAGACCTATGAACAGCGTCAGTGTCCCCATTGACCGACTGTCCTGGGCAGATGCACTTACTGACCACCCCTCCCACACTCTGTATAGCATTCAGGAGGCCCTGCGTCGAGCCGTGAGGATGGTGGAAGTCTGGATTGACATCAACAATCCGCCACGAGGTATGATATTCATGATCCCGTACAGTTCTCGTAGTAAGTAATGGATTGCACTCCATTCATCAAGGAGCTGGATGGAAGGTCGTTAGCCCAAGTAGCAGAAGACAACATCTATCTCATACCCATCGTATCCATTGGTCGCGGCTGAAAGAAGTGCGATCAACAGGAGGCCGTAGAGTTTCCTCCGGCCGGGATCCCTGTACCATGGGGTGACGTTGGCCATAAGCCTGGACATTTCTTGTTGTGTCGTCGCCATCTTGAGACAGGTGTAGATACTTGTGGTCGTGATTCAATGTAACAACACAGCGGGCAGACACGGTCTGAGAGGAGCAGAACGCCACAGCAGACAGGGAGAAGCTGTCGAATATCCACAGAGATATATATATGCTTCGTCCCCGTATGTCTACCGCCAAAAGAACCGCATCTGCTCGACACCATACCGGTTAAATTGTTGTCGGTGTATTGCCTGTCTGTGCACACATGCAAGGGTAGTCTACCGCTTGACTTCGCAGAAACTATAGCCTGAACAAAAGCCACAATTGATAAGACCCCGCAGTTTGAGAATATCTTGGGGTCCCCGGGTAAAAACACATGGATCTGGGGGGCGAACGCCAGCGTCCTTCCGTATTGGGAAATGCTGGGGACGCCCCGCTTTAATACGGCAAATAGAGGTTCCACGATGATGGGATTTGCTGCGAGTCTACGGTGGAGGCTTCGAGGCTTTTGTATACACCCATGGCCATACAAATATAATATCTAAGAGGCGCGTAAGAAGGCCAAGCAGGATCTTGTAAACACCGCCAAAACTCATCCCGTTCAGTGAAATACGAGGCGAGAGCGACTGGTAGAGGAGGTGAGTAAGTATATATCAGCCACGGAACCTCTTTTTTCCGCGATTGCAAATCTCGTTAACCCAGGACGAGCAGCCAGCAGCGACGATATTATCCGAAGCATCGACATGCTTCATCCCCCGCCGACCGGCCAACCGGCCAACCGGCTCATTGAGTTGTGGCGCGCTCTAGAATATCCAAGCATTCTACGCGAGAGGGGGCACCCAGGAGGATTCATCCCTGGCCATATACCAGGGTTACATTCTGCATGGCAGTCTAAGATGCGGATGTCCTCCTAGCCAACCATCGATACGTATTTGCTTGCTTTTCATTATCAATGCTGAGCAAGGGTGTCTTAGCGCGTATCAAGTGCATCACAAATAAACTGGAGAGGCCTGGAAACGCTGACCCGGACATTTCTACGAGAGTGAAAGCATCAAGTTGACAACAACGTCGCAGTAACACTAGATTGTTCTCGGCCGTAGAGTTGATGATTATTGAGTGTGTCGGGGTTGAGATCGCTTGTCTGCATATTTACAGATCCCGGCTGCACTTCTGACCGCCGAAGACTTTGAAGGGTCAAAAACATTAGGAGATGAGCCGGGATTGACCTCTAGAAAGCTCATATTAGGGCGGCATCATATTATTCCTGATTAGGGTTCCGACCTACTGCCATCTCGCATGACTCGACAATCGCAGGGGCTAGCCAGGAACTAAGTATTTGTAGGGCGGCAAGTGTGCGTCATACTTTGATTTTCTGTGCGCCTCTTCCCTCGCCCGCCCACTCGCCCACCCACCGTACCCAGCGTCCAGCATTGCACTGCGCTCTGTTGAATGTTCGCACGCATAGCGTAAGGAACTCAAGGGACTGAGTCGCAGTCTCACTTGCTCTTTCGTGTCCAAGCTCTTCTCTCGCAGGCTAGGGCGAGAATGCCCCCGATACCACCCTCGCGCCTGGTCGCGCTTCAATCTAACTCTCAAAATATCCGCAACATCTGTATCCTCGCACACGTCGATCATGGCAAGACGTCTCTCACAGACTCGCTTATTGCGACCAATGGGATTATCTCCCCGAAGATGGCGGGCAAGGTGCGGTATTTGGACTCACGGCCGGACGAGCAAATACGTGGAATTACCATGGAAAGCAGCGCCATCAGTCTGTACTTCAGTATGATGCGCAGGCAAAAGGAAGGTGAAGAGGCAAAGAAGGAGGAATACCTGATAAACCTGATAGACAGCCCTGGTCACATCGACTTTTCGTCGGAGGTCAGTACGGCCTCACGACTCTGCGATGCCGCGGTGGTCCTGGTGGATGCTGTCGAAGGCGTGTGTTCGCAGACCGTTACTGTGCTTCGACAGGTATGGCTAGAGAAACTGAAGCCCTTACTCGTCATCAACAAAATTGACAGGCTCGTGACGGAACTGAAAATGACCCCCGCCGAGGCATACTCCCACCTGGAAAGAGTCCTCGAAGGCGTAAATGCCGTCATCGGAGGCTTCTTCCAGGGCGAGCGCATGGAAGAGCATCTGATGTGGAGAGAAAAGCTCGACCAGGAAAGGGCGGCTAAAGAACAGCAGAAGCAGGATGCCATGAGCGAGGCCGCGTCCGAGGCGGACCTGGACCAACAGTTTGAGGAGCGCGATGACGAGGACCTCTATTTCGCTCCGGAGAAGAACAATGTCATCTTTGCGAGTGCCATAGATGGTTGGGCATTTACGGTCCGTCAATTTGCGGGCATATACGAAAAGAAGCTAGGTATCAAAAGATCCCTTCTGGAAAAGTTCCTCTGGGGTGACTTCTATCTGGACCCCAAGACCAAAAAGGTACTTGGTTCGAAACATCTGAAAGGAAGAAATTTGAAACCAATCTTCGTGCAACTTGTTTTGGAACCTATCTGGCAAGCCTACGACGCCACGGTTGGTATAAATGGCTCTCGGGGCGATCCAGCGTTGCTGGAGAAGATAACAAAGTCTCTGTCGATCAGTTTACCTGCCCACATTACGAGGTCGAGGGATTCCAAAGCCATCTTACAAGCCGTCTTCGCCTCATGGCTACCACTCTCAACAGCACTTCTCGTCTCGGTTATCGAATACTTACCAAGCCCGCCCAGTGCCCAAGCAAGTCGATTGCCCGAAATGATTGAGGATTTGGTCAGTGCAAAGAGCATTGACCAGTCTCTGAAAGACTCTATGATCAACTTTGACACTTCTAGCTCTGCACCACTGGTGGCATACGTGAGTAAGATGGTCGCTGTCCCCGAGAGTGAACTCCCCTCCAAGAGACGAAAACTGGGCACCACCTTGACAGCCGACGAAGCCAGGGAGCTCGCCCGTAAGAAGCGCGCTGAAATTGCCAAAGCACAGGCTGAGGCAGAAGGAGCAACTGGTGTGGACAGTATAACGAATGGAGTCAGTACCGTTAGGATTGGCGAGGAGAATGATGAGGGTATGACACCAGAGCAACCGGAAGATCCAGAGCATTTGATCGGGTTTGCCAGGCTTTATTCGGGGTCGCTCTCTGTGGGAGACGAAGTCTACGTCCTACCACCCAAGTTCAACCCAGCCTTTCCTCATGCCTCACCAGAGCCGAAGAAGGTGCCTATCACAGCTCTCTATCTTCTCATGGGCCGAGCTTTAGAGCCGTTGGATAAAGTACCTGCTGGAGTTGTCTTTGGGATTGAGGGGCTCGAGGGCCACATCCTCAAGACTGGCACATTGTGCTCGCAACTCGAAGGAGCTATCAATCTGGCTGGTGTTTCGACGCTCAGTCAGCCTATCGTCAGAGTCGCTCTGGAACCCACGAATCCAATGGATCTGAACAAGATGATCAAGGGACTCAAATTGCTTGAACAAAGTGATCCTTGTGCTGTGTATGAGCAGATGGAAAGTGGAGAGCATGTCATCTTGACAGCCGGTGAGCTGCATCTCGAGCGGTGTCTCAAAGACTTGCGGGAGCGATTTGCCAAGTGTGACATTCAGCCTGGCGAACCCATCGTACCATACCGCGAAACGATCGTCAAGGCGGAAGAAATGGAACCCCCGAAGAATAAAGACCTCCCTAGAGGGACGGCGATCGCGGTGACTGCCTCAAAGACTGTTTCTGTCAGATTGAGGGTTCGACCTCTGCCGTCAAATGTGACCGAGTTCCTGATCAATAATGGCGCATCGATCAGGAGACTATATGCCGAGAAGCAAGCACAGGAGGAACAGACTACAAAGGATCCTTCGAATGTCGACAGAGAGGAAATAGTCGACCTAGGAAACGACGCTGGGGGGCGGGAAAGGAGCCATCTCTCCCTTGAAGAGTTTCGAAATCAACTTCAAGCTGCATTCGATGAGGTGACAGAGGATAGAGATGTCTGGGCCAAGGTCGTGCCCAGGATATGTGGCTTTGGTCCTCGACGAGTCGGGCCTAATTTGTTCATCGACGCGACAGGACAACAAACCTGTAAGCGGTTCTTGTTTGAACAGCACGAAATTGCAGAGAGGGAAGAAGATACAAATGGCAACAGTGCCGATGGCGTGGAAACCTCGTCATCGTCGAAGCAAGATTTCTCGGATACTATTGCATACGCGTTTCAACTAGCGACCTCGCAAGGCCCGCTGTGTCGCGAACCGATGCAAGGCGTTGCCGTCTTCCTCGAAGAGATCAGCCAACAGCAACAGCAGCCACCCGCATCAAGCACCAGCACCGATCCTTCTGCCGATGGTGACCCTGCATCAACGGCGGGTGTCGAATCCGGCCGCTTGACGGGCGAACTCATCACGTCGGTACGCGAAACCATCCGCTCGGCGTTCCTGGACTGGTCCCCACGCATCATGCTGGCCATGTACAGCTGCACGATCCAGGCGACCCCGGAGGTGCTGGGCCGGGTGTACTCGGTGCTCACACGCCGGCGAGGTTCGATCCTGTCCGAGGCTCTGCTGGAGGGCACGCCCTACTTCACCATCAGCGCCTCGCTACCAGTCGCCGAGTCATTTGGGTTCAGCGAGGAGATCCGCAAGCGGACGTCAGGCCTCGCGCAACCGATGCTGCAGTTCGTCGGGTTCGAGGTCGTCGACGACGTCGACCCCTTCTGGGTGCCCCGCAGCGAGGAGGAGCTGGAGGACCTGGGCGTGCACGGCGAGAGGGAGAATGTCGCGAAACGCTATGTGGACGGCGTGCGCAGGCGTAAGGGCCTCCTGGTTAGAGGTACCAGGGGTGTTGGGAGGGACGCCGAGAAGCAGAAGACGTTGAAGACGAATTGAATAGATTCGATTCGTTGTTCACACATCTTGGTGCTGGAGTGCCTCCTGAGGAACGGCTCGCATTTTAGAAAATCTAGAACCACCGCCATCGTAACCAAAAGGTAGAAGAAGAGGTCATGAATGATCTCGAGATATATAAAGAGCAATCAATCTATAACGACGCAATCCTTTCAAAGGGGCTTGATTAGTTTTTTTCGTGTGCTTTAGACGGGTATTCCTCCGGAGTCGCGCCTGGTCGCGAGACGCGTTTCACGGCTTGCTCGCTCAGCCTTGCGAGTTGCCAGCCATCCAACTAACCAGCCTCGACAGCCTCGACAGGCTCAGCAGTAACATCAGCAATAACAACAACGACGACGACAATAATCAGCAGCTACACAACCACACATCCTGCATCGACATCTCAACCCTTGATCGACGTGTTCAATGGTCTCGCGCAGCATGCCTACGCGTCTTCCGACGAATAGTCTATATCTTAGCACTCGAAGGACTCGGTGAGCCAGTGTGCCGGGGGTAACTTAACCATCATGCCATCTCCTCCCCTTGCGCTGATCCCACCCACGCGCCGTTCGCTGTATAGATACACGGAGAAGATTCTTTCTTTTCGCGCGACACGTACTAAAATCTACCATATCACACCATTCTTCCCTTGCCGGGCTGGGGCAAGTCAAAATAAGACAAGACAAGGTAAGGGAGTGCAAAGCAGAACAAAGCCAAAAAAAACAAAAAAAACAAAAACAACAACAGAAAACCCCGAAACACCGGGCATTTTTCTTTATTTCTACCTCACACGAGACCGGTCGCCTCCTCCGTCGGAGTCGGAGTCAACTCCTTCAGAATGTTCAGGACCGACTGGACGCCGTCCTCGGACGTCCTGGCCAGGCCACACACGGGGGCGACGCCAAACTGGCGCAGGTGGTTCTTCGCCGCTGCGACGCGCTGCTTCGCGCCGTCGAGATCGTCCGGGTACACGAGGCCGAGGTAGACGGCGAGGTTCTTGTCGTGGAGCGCGGCGAGCGGCGCGTAGGGCGTCGGGTCCGTCCACTCGGCCAGACAGCCAAAGTGGATCCACTGGATTTGTCTCGTGGTCTTGTCGACGATGCGGTTCGCCAGTTTGACCATGACGGACATGTCGCGCGGCGCCAGGACGGGCTTGTTGTTGATGTTGCCCATGCAGACGTGGAGGCCCGCAAAGGCTGCGGCGGGGACCTTCGCCATCAGGCCCGCGTACTGGGCGGAGTAGCGCTCCATGGCGTCCTCGTCTGGAGGTGGGTGGAAATCCTCCCTCAGGGAGGCGAGGTACGACGACGACGGGTCCTGCTGGGCCTCGTTCTTGATGTAGTCGCTCGCAATGTCGAACTGGACGGCGAGATCCCCCGGCGGGATGGCCGCGACGATGGCCTCGGTCTCGCGCAACATGGCCTGGTACGCGAGATCCTCGACGAGGTACTGGAACGCGGGCTTGACGAAGATGGCGAAGCTCGACACCCCCGGCAAACACACCTGGAAGCGCACACCCGCCTCCACCGCCCCTTCGTCCCTCAACTTACAAAACACCGCGTACGACGCGACCGCGTCCTCGGCGTACCCGAGCTCCCACGAAGCCTGCTCAATCGCGGCACGGAGCCGCGCGACCTCCTCCCCCGCCATCTCTTTCACCGGGACCGGGTCGTAATTCTCATCGTACTCGCGCCAGATCTGCGCGAGGGCCGGGTTCTCCGTCGCCTTCTTCTGGACGAGCCCGATGGTGAAGTTCCACCGCCAACCCGGTTCGCCGTCGGGGATGGACCCGAGACGTCCCTTCAGAGCGGTGGCGCACTTGCACAATGCCGTCGTGGCGTCCGGGGCTGGGAAACTGCCCACGAGGTGGACGGGCGCGGGTCGGTATGTTGATGCTGACATTTTGCGTGAGGACTCGGTGTGTCTTGGAAACAGGAGGAGGTACTGCTCCAGTGCTTCCAGGCCGTGTGGTGTGTGTGTGGACCAAGGCAAGTCACTGATCAGGCATAATTTGACGAGCAAAGGGTAATCAATTCATGGAACTCTAGACCGACAATTGTGTAATCAGCCAGCCAGCCAGCCAGCCAGCCAGCCAGCCAGTCGGTCTGTTGAAAACGGTATAACATGCAGAAAAATAAAGGTCCATTTGAGGGATAGAAATCCACGACCCTCTAGGGGGGTGTGGCCATTAGCATACGCGAGTTCGGCGTTGTCCACTATTTGCGGTGTGCTGGCACCTACTCCAGTCCTGGAGAAGAGAAGAGCGGGTACATGCATACATACTTAGGAATATAGTACACGTCAAAGTCGAAGCCATGTGGTGCAGGGTTCTGCATTCATTATTGGGCAGCTTGGCTGTCAGCTGGGCTCGAAGAAGGATGGTGGTGGCCCCATTGAAAGGATTGAAATACCCATGGACTCCCTAGTAAAGAAGGCCTTCGCTAGGTGCAGGATGCAGTTCTCGTCTAGGTGTGCACATCTCTACGCTGAATCTCAATGATGGTCATTATCTAGTAATCCGGTCATCACATCGTCACTCCTTACAAGGACTAAAGAACAACTCCGTCCCATAGATGGCTTTATGCACCGGGCTCTTCTCCCCTCGGATGCCCCCCTCGCTGCATGATGGGTGAATTCGCCATGCGCTCCCAGTCGTGCAGCATCTCCGTGTTCTCCTTGGACAGACGAACCTCCTCGCCCGCGCGGTCCACCATCTCGGCCACGTACGCCGCCGCCGCTTCTTCAAAGGTGGTCTCTCCCGCCAGCGCGGCCTTGTACTTGAGAACCAAGCTCCTCGCGTCCGCGATGCCGTGGTTCAAGCCCTGGCCGCGCTGGAAGGTCATGGGGTGAGCCGCGTCGCCGGCGAGCAGGATCCGGCCGCCACGGGTGTCCCAGGGCCGGGGAATCCAGTAGGTCAGGTTGTTGCTGTGGACTTTTGTGCCCTCAGGGATCCACAGGTTGGCGGAGCGGAAGGGCTCACCCATGGTTTCAGCCTTGGCCTTCAGGTTGGCCAGCGACGCCACCTCCTCCCCCTCTTGCTTGTGCCATGTTGTCTGGAGCTGGAAAACCCAGGTTGCGGGGTCATTTGGATCCGGCACCTCCTGGACTAGATGCGTGATGATTAGGTTGTGTGACACAATTGCGGGGGAAAAGGCACAGCAGGCTTACTCGAAATCCATTGCCAATACCCATTCGGATGCATGCCCATGGCCATGATGGGGTGGGCCTGGCGTACGAACCTGGCCTTCTCGGCGTCGTTGTAACAGACATGCAGATTGACAGCGGAATAAGGCACACCGCAGGGTTGGCCGTCTTGCCCAAATATGATGTGTCGCACTTGGGATTGGGCGCCGTCGGCTCCAACCAATGAGGTCCCTGTTGCTTTTGTCCCATCCTCGAAGGTGGCTGTCACTGTCGACTGATCATCATCATATGTGATTTCGACGAGTTTTTTATTGTACTTGAAGATGAACGTAGGGGTGTTAGTTCGTCAAGTGGCAGCAGCAACAAATAGACGTAGTGCTGTTCCACCCAAAAGACTCACCTGGACGTCTATACCCTCGGAGCACAATTTCCTGAACCGTCGACGGGACACGCGATACATGCGCAGCAGCGGAATATTTTTCATCACTTCCCCGGTTTGGCCATTGATGGCGGGCAGATGACCAGGGTCAGGGGGCACAAAGGTCGGGTCAACGGCAGCGGTGTAGACTCGGTCGAAGAGGTCTTGGGGCAGACAGTCGGCCAGCATGGGCAAGCCCCATTGCACCGACATACCCCATTCGCGCGGTCGGTAGGCTGTGGCAGAGACTTCGGACTCGAAGATGGAAAACGAGATGCCAATCTAGCGGCAAGGCAAACATGTATTCGATTGTCAGTCAGTTGAACAGGGGGTTTGTTTGTGTTTGGCCCACGGGCAATGGTCATGCAGCTCAGATTTTTCTCTATACCTTTTTCAAGCCCTGTGCAATGAGAAGGCCGACGATACCTACATCATCGTGATGATTTTGAAAGTCCGTTAGCCTGTTTCATGGCAGATGATATACTGGATGGACAGGGATGTTGCCTTGGGCGATAGGCGAGCCGAGTTTATAAGAGAGAAGACCGCGTGACGCCAGTAACCCCCAACCATACCTGAGCCTACAATGAGGACGTGAACGGAACTCTTCTGGTCGGTCATCCTGCAGATGTACGAAGGCAAGCACTCTTTTCCATCAATAGATCAGTCCCAGACGTGGAAGGAGAAAAGAAAATGGGTGGGGGAGAGGCGGGTACAGGGTGGGAGTGCAGGTTGATTCGAGCAAGTCGAGGTTTTTATTCAAATGTGACAAGAGCTCGTTGGGCCAAATCAGGTGAGAAATTCAGTCATCTGAGTATCTAACTCGTAGCCGATGTCGTGGGGGCGGGCATATTGGACATTGGCATTGGATAGAGACCGAGCATCGTCCAGATTAGTTCTGCGTGAGCTGGTAATGGTACGAGTAGGATGGAGAGGGGGTTACAGGGGTGCTGGATTTGATCTCTGCGAGGGTAATTCGTGATAGCGGTTGGGGGGATGATTGGTGTTTTTTGGAGGAGGAGCTGCATGACACGTCAGCAGGGAGGATATACTTGAACGAAGTAGAGATGTTTCATGCATGAGAGAGGAGATGGAGGAGGAGATACGAGTACATATGAGGTGGATGGATGGAGGGGAATAAGTCGACGGAAAAATATCCCAGGTGCTTCCTGATTTCTCTCCTCTAACTACAAGGAGAGCAAGTCTAACGGGCCTAGCGTGTCTAGCGTGTCTAGTTCGGTGGGAGTTGCACAAACAAACAGTCATAGGGCCAGGACTTGGGCGTGCTAGGTGTTCTAGGTATTACTGGACTTCACTACTGGGTGTCGATCTTGACGCCTAGACCACCTAGACTGCCCAGACTGCCCAGACTGCTCGGGACGGACCCCTGCCGGCCGCCCGGGTTTTAGGGTAGCACATATTCAACCAATGCCTATGCCCACCATCTAGCTATACTTATGCGCACTCTCACAGACACAATGACACAATAATGAGCAGCTTAACCTTATAAGCGATGTGGCTACTCCTCCTCCTCTCTTTGTACTATCACCACCACCACCACGTCTTCCTCCTCCACCACCATCACCATCCTTGCTTATTCACGGAATAATTGTTTCTATCTTGGTCGTCTCCACATCTGGAAATCTGTAACGTGAACCACTTTTTAAGCTCCTCATGCATTGTTTTTTCCCCTCTCACTGCATGCATTTCTGAGTGAACTACAAGTGTTATTATCATGACCGACCAGTCATTTGGCAGTCGCCATGGACCCTCTTTCTCGAGAATGGATCCTGCTCCTTGCGATACTCGTGCAAGTACGACCGACTACTTGACGTCCCGAAATGCCGCCTTGGGTGTGGTCGGTCAAATGTTCCTGTTCGTCACATTTTAACCACCCACTCTGTTTTTCCGGACACTGAAGGAAGCACACTCAAATGGTGGCTACTCATGGACCATGTCATCCCCAGGCCATAGCTCTGGTCCCTCTGGTGCCTCGGGAGCCTCTGTGGATCGAACAGCATCCTCCTCCGTGGTCCCGGTCTCGGAGCCACCATTGACAGACCAGCCTCTGCCAGAAGACCCCGGACCCAGCTCATCTTCACACCCTGAACCTTCCGCGGAGATAGATGCAGACCAGTCCATCGAAGTTGATGTAGGTCTAGGTTTTCCCTGTGCCTCCTACCTCTCTCTTGGGGCGCTGTTGCTAATTAACCTTCTTCCATATCAATTCAGAGGTCGGCAGACTTGGACTCCGCCTACGGTGATTCCCTGTACGCAACTCCGAGGAAGCTCGAGGGAAAACAACGACTGATGGAAACAGACATAGTGATTTGACGTCCTTGGCGTCCAGCATCACCCGAGGAGTCTGGGAATATGGTCGACGATACCATTCGTATGGCCGATCCCGTATGTCACCGCCACGCCAAGTTTAAGTGGAAGTGACACGACGAGCATAATTGACTGATTGCACGCAGAATATGCTTTCCCAAATGACGACGCCGAGGCGGAGAGATTGGACATGCAACATGCCATGCAGACCCATCTGCTGGGCGACCGACTGTTCTGGGCCCCGATCGATCCCAACCCGGCCAGAGTGCTGGATCTCGGAACAGGCACGGGCATCTGGGCGATTGAGTTTGCCGACATGTTCCCCTCCGCCGTCGTCACCGGCACCGATCTGAGTGCCATCCAACCTGACTGGGTCCCTCCGAACTGCAGCTTTGAGATCGACGACGCAGAGGCCGAGTGGACGTGGAACGAAGCCAGCTTTGACTATATCCACAACCGCAATTTTGTCTGCGCAATTCGAGACTGGCCGAAGCTAATTCGCCAATGCTACCAGTACGAATCGCCCCCTGCCGTACATCTCCACTAACCACGCTGACATGCGTATATAGATTCGTCAAGCCTGGTGGCTGGGTTGAATGGCACGAAAAACACCCCTTCCTCCTTAGCGACGATGGGTCTCTACCAAAAAATTCAGCTCTGTATCAATGGGGTGCCAAATTCTTCGAAGCCAGTACGTCGACAGAAGATTCTTTGATTTTCTTGATTCACACACTTCGTTCTCACGCACAGATCCATTAGGTATCGAATTCGGCACGGACGCTCGCTCGCCTCAGCACCTGAAACGGCTCATGGAAGAAGCAGGCTTCGTCGATGTGCAAGAGCACATTCTCAAACTTCCTGTCGGGCCGTGGGCCAAAGATCAGCGACTCAAGGAGGTGGGCCTGTTCGAGACGGTCAACATGACGGAGGGCATCCAGGGATTGACCATCAAGCTCTTCACCCGGTGTCTGCACTGGACAGCCGCCGAGGTCGAAGCCTTTCTGTTGCAAGTGCGCAAGGACGTCAAGAACCGTGCTATCCACAGCTACTATCATTTGTGAGTACTAGGCAGGCCTTTCTCGTCCAATTCCTCTGTATTCTCGTGTCTAGAGGGGAACTAACCGTGAGAAGTTATGTGGTCTTTGGGCGACGGCCGGAGTAGTCTTCGACTATCCACATACTACTGGGTATTGACTGGACTGGACTTGCCAGGACTTTGGTGGTGAATTGACGTCCAGATTGTTAGTTGGTGTCAGGGTTTCCCTCGTACGGCTCACAGGACAAATCTACCTGGCGTTTTTCTTCTTTTCTTTTCTCCTCCTGTTTTCACTTCTCTTTTCTCCTCTACTTATTCCTTTTTTTCCCCATACAGCACTAAGGGGAATTTACTTACTCAAGCAGCCTTGCTCTACTTCTCGAGTGTTGGGTCTATTTATGCGAAGCATGCGGGATCAACAGAATCAGAAACAGTGTCAATCTGAGTCCAAGGCTACTATATGATCACCAAAAACACAAGGAAGCAGATACGCGATGGAAAAGCAGGGGGGATGTGGACTGGATACCGACTCACCGGATCAGGACAGCCTTGCCAAGAGACTCTCCTTCCTACATACTGTACTTATCGAGTACATGTGACAAACTTGCATCCGAGCAGCGCCGTGGGGTTATGACTCTGAAAACAGCACCAATAATAAAGAACACCTTCTCCCTTACAATCTCGGATTAAAGAATGGTAACGCTCGGTAGTCCACATAACCTTGGGGAACCTCCGAGTAGTAACCACTCGGCCCGAGGGACGGCCGCGTCCGGGAGTCGTGGCTGTTTAACAGTCCAGTTGACCACACCCCCATGTCTATCCGCGCCGACTCTCATTCATCGCATCGCTGTGCTCTTGTCGGCGTGCGGTCTTCGAGGAATCACTTAGCAGTCATGAAAGCATTTCAATTCGACAACGTGGAGGAAGGCCTCGTTCTGAAGGATGTGCCCACGCCCAAGCCTGAATCAGGTGAAGTAGTCGTCCGGGTGGAGGCGGCAGGTCTCTGCCACTCCGACACTCATGTCCTACATGGCAAAGGAGCTTCGTGGACGAACAAACGGCCCATAACACTGGGTCATGAAGCCGCAGGAACGGTCGCCGGGATTGGCCCAGGGGTGACAGGGTGGAAAGTGGGCGACCGGGTTGGCGTGGCTGTCTATCCGACCGACGACGGGGACTCGAGTCACATCATTGGGATTGGTAGAGATGGCGGATACGCAGAGCAGGTCGTGGTCCCTGCGAACGTCCTCGTACGGCTTCCCGACGCGGTCAGCTTCGCCCAGGCGGCTGTGGCAACCGACTCGATCGCAACGGCATACCACGCTGTCATCTCCGAAGGAGAGGTGACGGCGTCGACAACCGTGGCAATCGTCGGGATGGGCGGGCTCGGCCTCAACGGAGTTCGGGTCGCCGCTCTTCAAGGAGCCACCGTCTACGGAGTAGACATTGACGAGAACAAGTTCCCCGAGGGCCTGGCACAAGGCGCCAAGGCATGCTTCTCGAAGCTCTCAGACATCCCTGAAGACGTCGTTATTGACGTCGTGGTGGACTATGCCGGCATGGGAGTCACGACCCAAGAGGCGATGCAGAGAGTCAAGCTCTCCGGAACGGTGGTTTTGGTCGGGATCGGCGTGGCGAGCTTCGAGTTCTCTTCTCTCACATTGTTGCTTCGCGGCCTGACCATACGTGGCTCGAAAGGTGCGACCCTGCCCGAATACCTCGAGATCCTGAAGTTGATCGCCGCGGGTAAGATCGTCCCCAAGCTGACCGAAGTCCCGTTTTCGACCGTACCAGAAAGTCTGAAACGGCTTGAGCAGGTTGGTGGGGTCGTCGGGAGGCTGTATACGAGGCCGAACGCGTGATGGGATGTGGAGTGCGAATTTCAGCTAGCTAGCTAGATAGCAAGCAAGCAAGCAAGCTTCGTGGGGTAGACACGGCAGTGTCGATAATGATGTCTATCCCATTGAATACGTCGCACAGTTCAGTGCCTCAGCGTGGAAGAGGTGAAAAGGGGGCATGACTAAGCATAGCCACATTGATTGCCAAGACTTATGGCTGACGGTTGAACTCGTATCACGTGCCTCCAAATTCCATATCAATTTTCTGTCTGTCTCAATTTCTTCGCTTCATGTTTGTCCTGTGTGCTACAACCGTCCACTTCCCCCAAATGCACGTGGAAGACTCGGGCTCTGGCCTCTGCTACCTCTCACTTCGGGCGTTCGAAAAACAAATGCCATGACTGGTTGGTCCGTGTGATAGTCAGGTGCTTCTTTGCTTTCTTTAACTCTTCTCACGCTTGAAGAGAGGGCCGGCTTCAGCTTCTGATCCGTCTCGAGCCCACCTCACGATCCATGGCTGCCTCACTCGTTGTCCCGGGCCAGGTTCTGGCCAGTACATCTTCACACATTCCTGGTTCAGGCACCCACGTCTACGAGAACAACATCCTCGCCTCCATCCTTGGCACGTCAGTTGTTACTCCAGCACCGAATAAGTCGGGCAAGCCGACCATCTCGGTACCCCGTCAAGCGACCGCCGTTGCGTCCATCAACTCACTCCCCAAAGTCGGCTCGTCGGTCCTGTGCCGCGTGACCAGGGTTCGCCAACGAGAACTCTCAGCATCCATCCTGGCCATCATCGACCCGTCTTCTCCATCTCCAGCGATATCCGCCAGCGACATCATCTCTTACTCCCAACTCACCGACGACGACCTCCAATTCCAGTGCATTCTCCGGCGCGAAGACATCCGGACGCACGAAAAGGACAAGATCGTGATCAACGACATGTACCGCGTCGGCGACATCATCCGCGCCACTGTGATCAGCTTGGGCGACGAGAGGAACTACTACATCAGCACGGCGGGGAATGAGTTTGGCGTCGTGGTGGCCACGAGTGAGGCGGGCAACGCCATGGTTCCCGCAAGTTGGAAGGAGATGAAGGATGCCGTGACGGGGAAGGGTGAAAGCCGAAAAGTCGCCAAACCTTCGTGAAAGTCGACTTCACCTCGGATACTACCTCCTCCAAGCGACATGATCCCATTTCTCCTACGCAGCCCACAAAATGTCGCCTGACCGGGTTTTCCGGTAAATGCTTCAATCCCCAACAATGTGCTGTTGGGCACGGTACCCAGGCAATGGCAAGGACTCTCGGGCGTAGTCGGCTGTATCAGAGTACAATGCTGGCTCCCTTTCTGAGATCAGATGAGCGTGGAAGCGCATATTCCTATAACCAGCGCTTGCAGCACAAAAAACATGTGAAGCTCAGATCGTGTACACAAAGGCACCTCTCAGCCCGCCTTTTCAGGGAATTGTCTCGCTCCACCTCCAGAGACAGAGGCTGCGGGTCACTGACGAGGCTCTGAAGATTAAAACGCGCTGGGCCATCCACGGCCAACAAAAGCCAGCCTCAGGACCGTTAAGTGGCAGATAGGGTAGAGCGAGAGACAAGACTCGAGACGCTAGGTACGCCATTTGGTCTCTCTTCTTCGCTCTACCACGGCCTGGCTAGCACAGAATCCGAGCCATTGTATCGAACGAGAGCGAGATGGAAATGCGAGGTCAACTATGACCAGACTACATACTGCGAGGGAAATACCGCTTCGTCCAACCATGGCGCTTGACACCCGGACGATGGTTCGAACTCCAACTCTAACAACAACTCGACCTCAACCATACCATACCATACCATAGGTGCGGCCTCAAAGTCGAATCATCCTTGCAGTCAATCCATCTTCGACTTCAAGCACACCTCTCCACGCTCTTCACTGTTATCCTATGCATGTGTGCCCTGCGAGCAAAGCAAGAGGGTGAGGGTGAGGGCGAGGGCGAGGGCGAGTGAGCGAATAAGGGAGCCCAACTGTGAAATGCATGAACCCACCTTTTTTTTGAAAAAAAGAAAAACAAAAAAAACAAACAAAAACAAAACAAAACCACCTTCCCATACATGCCTTCTCCAGACAAATATGCAGCAAATCTCCGTCTGCCCTGCCTGACCTGTCATGCGTCGTGGTGGACTCCACCTCACCCATACCCATACCTATGGCCCCTCCCCCTCCCCAAATTCTTCCCTTTCCCTTCCCCCTTTTTCTACAGTACAGTACAGTACAGTACAGTACAGTACAGTACAGTACAGTACAGTACAGTACAGTACATTCCAGTCCAGTACACTACAATACCTCTCCAGTATCCATGGTCACGACACCCCCCCTTAAAAAAAGGGTCAATGTCAGGCTGTGTTCGTCACGGGAGGAATATCAAATTCAACAGAATCTCCTCCCATCATCCAGGTCCGCCATCCTTTTGATATCATATCATATCATGCTTTTGGGTGTGTTTTCGGAAAGAATATCAAAGGGGAGGTGACACCTGCCTCGCATGGATCACAATTGCCTATCAATATGAAGTGCCCTGCAGAAAATTAGACATGTCCTTATCGAGCCCATCAGTGCCAAAGGTGTACAATTAATGCATTGAGGCTAGAATGAAATGGCGTTAACCTGCCCGTGCTTTGCTTTCGCTTCGCTTTCGTCTGTTCCTGCTTCCATAAGGACAAACAACGAAAGTCCAGCAGCAGAATCTCCCATCAAAAAGAATAAAAGGTATCGCCGTCGCAATACCAACAGCATTCCCTTTCCCATCAGAAGCCCCCTTATTCTCTTTCTCCGGCAAGCAGTGACAATTAGACCCCTCAACGCCTCGCTATGCTCCCTGCACACTGCGAGGCACAACTTTGTGTGCCCATACCCAGTGACGGCCCTTTTCGTTGCAACTCCATGTAAAAGGGGTATATGATAATATCAAGAGGTCTTGAACAAAGAAAACCCCCACCGTCGCTCGCTTTCAACCTTCCACCAACGTCTGCTTGGGCCCTTTACCAAGCAATTCCAAAGATCTTTGAGCAAGAGCAATCACCTCGCCCTCGCCCTCTTCGCCTTCCTCGTCGTCAGACTCAACGTGCTTGTCGGCGATCGTCTTGACCATCTGAATAATGTCCTCCGATTTGGCCACCAAGCTGACTAGCTTCGTGTCATCGGATTCCAGAAGCTGCAGCAACGTCCAAATTGCAATATGTTGAAATGTGGGATCACCACTGCACAAGAAACGCTTGAGATAACCGTGGATGCCACCGTTTGGCTCGGTCCAATCGCGAACGAAAATCGAATAATCGCCAACCTTCGAAGACAGATTTCCCAGGGCGGCGGCACTGTTCCCTTGAACCTCAATGCTTTCCGAATCCGTCAGAGGAATCAAGACGTCGAAGACTCCCATGTTGAGGAGATGTGTTTTGAGTTCGTCGCTCAATGCCAACACGGCGATACAGGCGGTCATCTCAGACTGTACGCTCAATGGCACATGCAAAACAAGCTCCTTACATTTTTGCACGGCTCCGGCCTCCAAGACGAGCTGCTTGTTCCGATCCGAGCTTGCAGCAAGGTTCCGTAAAGTCGATATAGCATGGCATTGAATCTCCTCGTTCTCGGTAGATCCCAGTAGGTCGACCAGAGGTTTGAGAAAGCCAGCATCGATGATGGGCGATTCATTGAGAGGGTGAATCGAAATATTGCGGATACAGGCGACGGCGGAGAGGATGAGGGGGAGGTATGAAGATTGAAGGAGACGGAGGAGTGGGTGCAAGCCTCTAGCTCGAACAATCTCCAATTGGTACTTTTCATCTGATGCCAAGTTTCGCAGAGCCAATGCCGCCTGGCACTGAACTTTGGGCGTTCCTGAATCCATCAGCTGGACCAGTGATTGGACAAGGCGTGGTTCGGTCTGGGCGAGTTTCTTTCTGTTGGACGCGTCAACAGCGATGTTGCTGAGAGCCGTAGTGCAGTAATATTGGACATCCATATCAGGCGACTGAAGCAGTTGGACGAGCACTGGGATGGCTCCTGCATTGACGAGCTGTTGTCTATTGTCCTCTGGTTATCATTAGCATGATGTGGACTGTGATACGACTTGATTTCCACCATACCAGAATGTGTCATGTTGAGCAACGCGCCAGTTGCATTCCTCTGGACTCGCATATCTTTCGACTTTGCTAGTCTCGTCAATGGACCTAGAGCCCCTGACCTTGCAATTTTGGCCTTGTTATCTTCATACGTTGCCAGATTTGTAATGCACCCAACAGCATTACACTGGACCTCGACATTATTAGACATCATCTGCCGAATAAGGGGAGGTAATCCGCCGAGTTGGACGATAGCGACCTTGTTCTCGGCTGTAACAGGTCAGCTCAAGGTATTCCACGGGGGCCGTTGGGGGAACCGTACGATTCACAGCCAGGTTGCCCAAAGCTGCACTGGCAGCTCGTTGTACCTCGATATCGGGATTCTGCAGGAGAAAGAGGATGGGTTCGAGGGTGTCTCGGTCAACCTCTCTCACATCTGCAAAGGCAGTTAGTTTTGTTTCGCGTTGCGCATCCCTTGTAAACATACCTCGCTCCGTGATCTCGGCAAATGTCAGGCTAGCGCTCCGTTGTAGGTCAACATTGTCCGAATAGACAAGAGTGCTTAATGCTCGTAACGGTTCTCCAGAAAAGAAATCTGTCTCTCCTCGCTGTGGTCTGTCAGAGTTCAACTCTTTACAACGAAGTGGATCCTGTGAACGTACATTCTCGAGGTATTGTAGCAGGTCCGCAACGGCTTCTCGTTCGCTGTCTGCGAGGGCGGGTTCGTAGAGGTTATCCTTATTCCGACCTGTGAGGGCAGAGGTCAGTCAGTGTCCAGACATGTTCGAAGGATGCAGCGGAGACATACCTTGGCAGTTCTTACAGCATGCCGATAGTACGTTGCCCATCTCGAGGCGTGGACCCCGAGGGGTACGAATTAATCGAGAGTGGTTCTGTTGGGCAAGGGAATCGCGACTGGGCGGGAATGTGTGCTGATGTTGCAGCTGGGTGATGGAGAGGTTGGATGTGAAAGGCTCATCTGATGGTCATGCTGATGCCGATTGTGATGCAGTCTTCGAACGATGCTGGCGAGGCTCCCGATATCTGTTATGGTAAGATGAGGAAAGCTTCAGAAACTCGGCTCGGATTCGCTGACGCAGGGAATGCTGCAGCAACAGGCACTGTGCGTCACTGCGTGACCTGCAGTTGCAGTTTCAAGCACAAGAGTCTCGCGTGCAGGCAGGAGCAATCAAGACGAGGAAGTCGTCCCAAGTATGTGGCGTGTGACCCAGTGTCAATGAGCGAGCAAGTCGCAGGTGGGATGGGCAATTGGTAGTGGTGTGAAGGTGGTCAACATGGAGTTTTGGGCGGAAGTGCACGAGTTGAGGAAGCTGCAGACGCAGCGTGCCGCTGTGCGGGTGGTTTAGCGCATGTTGGGTGAGCCTGGCACGACTATTGGCGCAGCGCCGCGTAGGCTTCATACGGGTACAAGGAACACATATGGGCGGACGCTGTTAGGCTGGTGCCGCCGATGTGGATGCCCCCGGAACTCGAGGAGAGCCAACCGCTTACATGCTCAATCCGATACTTTCCTACCACTACAACATCTACCCCTGCAGCCTCGCATTCATTCTCTGCAGAATAATACTCGTACAGATGTCGTCCGAAGAATTCCTCGCTTTGACCGAGGCTCATCGACATCAGAGTCAGCCACAGTACTGCGATGCAAAGTGCACCATCCCCTCGTCCGACTTCAAACCGAACTCCTACGACGTGCCCAAATACCCGCGAATCATTGAAGACCTCAATGCCAATGTGGCTTTTCACATGCTTCCGACGTCATCGACTAGAGAGAAAGACCCAAATTTTTGAATAGTACGCAGGGAATACAAGGAGCAAGAAAACACGTTGGTCATTAAGTGTGTGCTATATGCATCCTTCTTCGCCATCCGGTGTGCCTGTTCTGCTCAGGCTGTCACGTATACTGCGCCATTTCCTTCCATTTCCTTTCGCAAAAATGCAAAGTCACCGTGCAGCCAGCCAACCACTGCACCGCCATAACTCCAATCATGAAAGTGGCCATGTTGTTTGCCGTAGAATTATAGAACTGAGGAGATTCGTTGCTTTTGTGGCATCTATGCCTTTGACGTCTCGTGCCTGACCTCGGCTGGTGCGTGCTTGCGTCCAAAGAGCGTGCCTTTCTGAATGACTGGCGAGTAGATACCTGCCGGGGTCAACGTCTCGGTAGTTGGTCGAAGTTGATCAAGGGCGTTCTTGATGGTGGACTTGATCCTTTGCGATGTCTTTGAGGACTTGCTGGCGGTGGATTCTTGGGAGACACGACGAGATGATGTTGCCGAGCTGTTCTTCTCAGCTTGGGTGAGGTTGTAGTATCCTGCGTAAAGCATATTGATTGGTGTATGTGGAATGTCTTTGTGTAGTTAGGTGGATGTAGATTGATGTGGTATATAGCTAGGTTGAATAGATATGTGTGTGTATGTATGTCTATTCTTTCAATTCCTCTTACTAGAGATTGAATCACCCACTTTCGAGCAGTCGACACACGGGGTTTATATAGGTAGCATTCGACACCCTCACCACGGCAAAATTTCTCAACGACTCACCTCCCGTAATAGAGGGTTACGGGCCACCCATTTGGGGAGGGGGGGAGATTTTCATCATCTACCCACGCAACCACGCTCTTTGTCTCGACGAAAAACCCAACAAGTCGTCTGGGAGATCAGAACAGTGTCAAAGATCACGCCCCATCACCAATCATGATCAACGTTGAATACGCCCTTGGAGAACACGAGTGACCCAGGGCGTGTGCGGTTGTCGTTAGCGGAAATCCATGTGTCAACAAGACCAAAGGCGCGTGTGAACCTGCTTTTAGAGGATTTCAGTTTGTCATGCCCGCCCCCAGCCAGTCACAGGCATGAAAATTTCTCTGACGGTGTCTGAAAAAATTCTGCTTAACTAAGCACTTAGGGGGAAAGCGTCTGGGTGGCGTCTGTGGGCCAGTCGGAGGACGTGGAGCAACGTGTCGAGGGCCTTGAGCAAAACGGCACGTCCCAGTGGCGGCAATGACGATGTGAGGGGGCTTGGCTGGGAATTGCGCCCTTGTTGTTGTCTCATCCCTTTACCAAAGCAGATACAATACGACGTCTGGGCAGTTGGTGGGCACACTCCTTCCTGGGCATCGTGGGCAATGATGCGACTGTGCTGCGGATGTCCACCGACTTTACAAGAGGAAAATCATCTCATTACCGAGCAACAGACTTCTAGAACCTGGATTTACCCTACCCACAGATGAAAGCTGAGCTCAACCAACTTTGAGCCTTCCCTGCTGCTATGTGTTTCACAAGCGCTATATTACAACAAGGTCTCCCTTACCCGACCTGACCACAGCCAGGAGGAATGCTGGTGATAAAACAAGTTCCTGACGGAGGACATCCGCCCTCATCAAGGAAACGAACTGCATTACGCCTCGTTGATCCTGCTGGGTTCGTTCGTCCCAGATTTCGGATCCAATAGTTCCAGGGTTCTCACTTTGGATTTGACAACACAGTCGGCCGCGTTTTGAATCATCAGCGGCTGACGGATTGCGGAGACTTGACCATGTCGATCGGGTAGCAGTTTTGCTTGCTCCTCATCTGACCGAGGATAGAAATATGCAAGACCTCGCAAGACCCGAGTAACAAGTGCCTCCTTACCATGGCCGTGCGCATACAAAGGGACAAGAAGCTGACCGAAACTCCATAGATTGTTTGAGAGTGCAGAGCATTAAGATACCCACCCGCGACCAGCCACAAGGCGATAGAAAGGTTGCGCATAATACAAAGCACGGGACGACGAGGCTCAATACCTTCTGCGTTGTCTGGGATCGTCATACCCATCGTTCTCGTGGTGTCGTTTTCTCGAGCCGTAGTCGTCTTCTCGTCTGCTGCTTCCGTATCGATCACGTTCTCGGTCTCGATCGCGGTCTCGGTCACGGTCTCGATCTCGGTCACGGTCGCGGTCACGATCTCTGTCTCGATTGTCATACCCACGATCTCGTCCTCCGAGCGGATCGGTGTTGCTGCCGGTTGCGCCGCGTTGGTCCCTTCCACCACCATATCCATTGCGTCGGTCGTCATAGCCTCCGCCATAGCCGCCTCTCCCACCAGGTCCGCTGGGCGCATTGGGGGGCGGAGGTCCATTCTGGTAACCTTGTCGTCCGCCAAAGCCTCCCCCTCCTTGGTACCCAATGCCACCTCGCCCACCAAAGCCCCCCCGGTCGCCGCGGAAACCACCGCGGAAGCCACCACGACCGCCAAAGCCACCTCTGAACCCGCCACCATACCCACCTGGCGGTCCGAATGTAGGCTTTGCAGGGGCTTGCTTGGTATATCCTCGTCCACCAAGACCGCCGCCAAATCTCCTCGGTCTCCAACCCGGGACCATGCGGCCACGTTCAACATCGACAACGACTCTCCGGTCTTTGATGCGGAGACCATCTGTTTCTTTGTAGGCAGCTGTAAAATTGTAAGGGATCTCGAGGTCAGTTCCAGCACATCTTACCATTGAATATTTGGTGTGAAAAGAAGGGTCAAGGGCAGAAGGGTTTGCGTAGAAGAAAGTACCTCTCATATCCTTTTCTCTTTCATAGACAATGAAAGCATACCCTCTATGCGGCTTCTTGGGTTTGAGGGTTGTCTCATCCTTGACGATCCTGATTCTTTCGATGGGACCAAACCTGCCGAACTCACGCTCCAGGTCTGCTTCTTTCGCATCATAGCTCAAGCGGCCGACGAACAGTGTCTTGACGGCGTCGCCCTTGATCTTTGGATCTTCATTTGGTCTGTAGCCTTGGAAGTCGGGCTGTTCGATCTCTTGCTGGCGCAGTTTCTTCTCGAGTCTCTTGCGATCGCGCTGCTGCAGCCATGACTCGGTAGCTTCGTACACATCCGTCGCCTTGTACTCCTCCAGCTGCGGAAGAAATGCGGCTATCCCAGATAGCTGAGATTGCTTGAGAGCTTTCTCTTCTGGGGCCGAGTCTTGAGGAGGGATGTAGCGGAGGGGAGGTCGGGGTTGGAATAGAGCAAGGAGATTGGGAGGCAGTTTGTCCGTCATCTTGGTGCAACGCCGGGAGAAGGTTTTTCGGAGGGATGCACGAGAGTCATCAATACGCAAAGGAAAAGAAGAAAAAAGAGCACGAATGCGCCAGTCTTGAGTAAAACTACAGAGGCAGTGGTGAAGGAAGCGAAGGATATGTAGACAAAGGGTTGAAGATAGCTGAATTCACAGCGCGTTCGATGCGGAAAATGAAATTGTTGTTCCCTGAACTGCCCAAGGGGAAGATGCCGGCTAAACCCAAGAACGGTTTAGTGCCCCTTCAATATTCAGCAGCCTCACTCCACTGCTCTGTTAAGGCAGGACGACCAGATATTTTCCATACTGCAGTATATGGTGCATCACTTCCTACTATATGAGGTGTTTTGATATTGGTGCAAGCTCTGGTATGGTACTCCAATGTTCCGCCGCCACATGCAATTCTGAGCACATGCTAAGCACTAATTGGGCATTTACAAGGATTGCATACCAGCGCAAGACATCCAAGGTATATGTAAACAGCGACGATGGAGAGTTGGACTCTCAATACGAGGTAGAGCAGGCGACCACCTGCTATAATTGCACCGCCACCATCACGTGACACAATGAAGGCTGTGCGCCACAGTTGCCACTGGTGCCCCACCTCGTCTTCGCTTTCTCGACATACGAGGGAAACGGGGAAAAACGTATTCGTATCCAGGGCATCGATCAACCTCAATTCCCTCTCCCTCAATATTTATAGACTCTTCTCCACAGCAAAATAATGAAAAAAGCCCTGCAGATCGCCTTGCGAACCTTGGCAGACATCGCATAGAGGAAACTCCCAAAAATATCGTCCAAGAACATCTTGTCATGAGGGATAAGGTGCTGCTATTTGTCGCAGAATCATCCTGATCGAGATTAACTCGACAGCTGAGTTCAACTATCCTGGGTGCATCGGCAAATGATCACTGGGCTCCGTCACAGAAGATTCGCATGCCCTCCAGGCAACTGCTTTTAAAGCTGTTGAGCAGAGATGGCAGTCGAGGGGACTCTGTACAAAAGTCATTTGCTGACCGTCGTCCCCGAGGAGTAACTCAGCGTCTTCTCTTTTGTCGCACTTCTCATCATTAAGCATTCGAGCAGGATGATTTACGGTTTTCGCCTCACGCTCTGCTACATTCTCTTCCTTGCTGGCACGCTTCAAGCAACCCAGCAGCAATACTGCAAGCCTATTGTAGGTTCCCCAGGATGGCCGTCAATCTCTGACTGGCACGCTTTGAACGAGTCTATCTCGGGCCGCCTCATCGCGCCAGTGCCCCCAGGACTGGTCTGTCAAACCAACAGTTCGTCGTACAGCGCACAGGCCTGTGGTCAATTGCTTGCACAGTGGACCAATTCTTCCTTTCATGCTGAAGACCCCTTCACAACCAATTACAACGACGACTCTTGCCTTCCTGACCCTCGCGCGCCATGTTCCACTGCCCCTCTCCCAGCTTATGTCGTCAACGCTACCAACACGGCCGACGTCCAAGCTGCCTGCCAATTCGCTTACAAGACTGGGGTTAGGCTCATCGTCAAAGGAACCGGCCATGACTTTCTGGGACGGTACACGCCCTGATGACCTGTCCATGGTGGCCTTGAAACGCTGACATTGTGAACAGATCATCTGGCCGAAGCTCTCTCTCAGTCTGGACACATAACATCCGTGGCATCAATGTCACGATGGGGGATCTTCGAGCCAAGCGGTATGGCGGGATTGCTTCGGTCAAGATTGCCGCGGGCATGCGCTTTGGCGAAATCTACCAAGCGGCTTCCTCATACAATCTCACCTTAGTTGGTGGCGCGGATCCCAACGTGGGCATTGGTGGCTGGGTTACTGGAGGTGGACATTCCCCGATCAGCGCCGTCTACGGCCTTGGGGCGGACCAAGTCCTTGAGATGGAGGTTGTCACCGCCAACGGCACACACCTGACTATTGACGAGGATTCCTACCCTGACCTCTTCTGGGCGATGCGAGGAGTAAGTTTTTGTTGCTGGCTCAGAATGGCTGACCAATGGGAGATCTGACTCTCAATGTTCTTGTCTAGGGCGGCGGTTCTACTTTCGCAGTCCTACTGTCCGTCACGGTCCGGGCATATCCTGTGCTACCGACGGCAGTTTATTCGTTCAGCTACAACACCACTGCAAATAGTGACACATTCTGGTCTCTAGTGGCATACTTCCACAACCAGCTACCCGAGCTCTCAGACGCCGGTGTCATGGGCTACTACTTTATCGTTCCCAACAACAGCGCCGCACAGCCTGACCCAATCCGCATGGGCTCGGTTGTCGGCTTCTGGTTCGTCCCGAACAAGACTGTCGAAGAAACCCAGCAGATATTGACGCCTTTGGAAGAGCGTCTTCGGAACAACACATACAACTGGACGGACACGGTGTTTGTGGAGAGCATAGCCGTACCCGTTGAGGACTTTACCAAATTCTGGCTCACCTACGGCGCTGCCCAGAGTGTTGGATCAGAAGTCCGGCTAGGGTCTCGCCTGTTGGACAAGGCCGCCCTCAAAACCGACCCGGCAAAGCTGAAAAAGCTCTTCGAGCAGACGACCTCTAACCCGCAGTATTCGATCCTGGGCCACGTCGTGGCAGGCAAGGGTGTGAAGACCGTCAAGAACGGGATCCCCGGAGGGAATAACTCAGTCCTGCCCGCGTGGCGCGACGCATACACACATATCGTACTCCCGCGATCATGGGCGTTCCTCAATGAGACGGCAAAGGTCGCTACGACCACACACCTCCGCGAGGTCGAGGTCGAGGCCCTCCGCGAACTGGCGCCTAACACAGGAGCGTACGTCAACGAAGCAGACCCGACGGAACCGAACTGGCAAAAGACCTTTTGGGGATCAAACTACCCGAGGCTGCTGCAGCTGAAGAGACACTGGGACCCCAAGGGCGTCTTTTGGTGCGTGCCCTGCGTGGGTCACAAGGACGGTTGGGAGGTCGTGAGTGACGTTGGTGTCGAGGGCGCGGTGGGCGAGTCTCCAGGGAGGATTTGTCGGACTTCATGAGATGTCGCAGCTTATTCCGGGGAGGGAGATTTGGTCCTCCTCTTGAGATAAGATCAAGACGGCTCGAGACGGCTCGAAGAAGGAATGGGCACCATAGTTGGGATGCTGGTACTTGGGCACGATTAGTGGGATGGAATGCTGCGTGCACGAAGAGGTCAACGCACCACTCCCCGGTGTCTTTGACACAGAGTAATCACATAATCTAAACATCTAATGTGAACACTTGGACTAACATCGCATCCGCTATTCATCCCATGACTCTACCTTGTGTCTGTCTATGCGCAAGAGGGTAAGTGCTCGTCATGCATTCCTTCATTGGCTGTGAGGCCGTCAAGGCTGAGCTTCTCCTAATAAGGTTAGCCACAAAGCCTCGCGTAGCTGCGCCGTTTGCCGTTTCGCGGAATTCATCTGGGCGCAGCTTTCTCCAGCTTTTCCAACCGCGAAGCTCTACCATCACCCGGATTCTTTGTACTCACCCCCATCTACGGATAAATTCTGGAGGGAAGCGGCTCACAATCCTTGCATCTCAAGCCATGGGTGTGCAAGGGCTCAAGACGGTGTCGACGGCACGGGTAAGTTTCTTTTTTGTCACGCAGTTTTCCTCACGCCCAGTTGGTTCCAAGTCCATCGCGATTTCCCCTGGTTTCTAGCCCTCTGTTTGTTAAATAGAAGAGGAGAGGGAGAAGGAAAGCAATCTATCATTTCATATTCCGTTGGGCAACGAGCATTTCATACTTCTCCAATGACCATGGAGACCGTTTCACTGACGCTTGCGCACACATACAGAACGGCCTAGGCGCCTACATCCTGCAATGCACGCGGCTGCACCTGACGTACTCGGACCACTGGGTCTCGTCGACGGGGCTCAAGTCGCTGCTCGCGTCGCCCGCCTTCTCGTCGCTCACGCACCGGTACCCTAGCGTCGAATTCAGGATCTCGCCGCGCCCGAACCGCCACCCGGTCATCAAGGCGCAGTACTGCAACGGGCGGTCCAAGGCCATCTGCGTGAAGAACATGGCCCGCGAACAGGTCCTGGAGAAGGCCGAGTTCCTACTCGGCAACTCGGGCGACAAGAACGTCTTGGTCAAAGGCAAAAAGGTCGTCAGCTCCAACGAGGGCGTCAGGGGCATGTGGAGTCCCATGCACGGGGGGATCAAGAAGATTTGAGCCCCTTCTTGGACCATGCTCGTGCTTTGGGACTTGGGACAATCGAGGCTTCTTTGAGCTCTGAAGATTTTTTGGGCAGGTCCCTTCCGAGGGGCTTGAAAGAGGGTCGGCACACGTCGTGAGATCTTGGTGGGAAATAGGACTTCGACACCCGTCTCTGGAGTCTCCTTGTAAGGGTGTGAAAGGGACGGAAGAGTCGGGTTCTCAGCGGCTGGGCACAAGCGGACGCATTCGAGCGTGAGATCACGCACCCTTGGGGCCAGCGTGTGAATCCAGGGAAATGAAGAAGGAACCCCATTTATTACATTGGCAAAGCGGCTGGAAGGCTCCCCGGCCTCCATACATTCGGTCCCCTGACCAGTGGGCAATCAATCGTCGACGAAGCCAAACAAGCCTGTCTCTTGGTCGAGCGACGAAACCGTTCTGACCCTGGCGACACCTTGAAGCCCGTCGTGACGTTCCAAAAGCTCGACTCCATACCGGGCACCCGAAAGACGTTTTGAGACCTCTGTGGGTGAGATCCGGCCAAGTTATACGCATACCGCTCGCCGCAATTGGCACCACAACGCCCATGTCCTTGGAAGAAGCTCGAACACAAACGTGTGTCTACTTGTAGTCAAGCTGCTTTCTGCTCAAACGAATTATGATTCCGTGGTCGAAGAACCTGCGACGATGCATTGGAACGTTGGCTACTTGACATCACTCGATCTGCAATATGTGTACAATAGTTACAACTGAGTTCAACAGCATCAGAAGCGTGCTGCGGCTGATTCGACTGGAATATCTATGCATCATCCTCCATCGTGAGCGCGAAATTCCCCTTAACAAATATGACTCCCCGATCCCTGAATTAAAAGGTTCATTTCTTCGTTGGCTGGATCGATGTCTGACTGCATCTGCAATCAAGTGGCCCGGATGATCAAACCAATCCTTGGTATGGGCTCAGAGATAGATAGGAAACATGGCAGCCTTGCTAACAACCTTGGTGTTGCAGCCGTCGACACTGCAGACGGTAAACGGAACCGATCTGATTGATTCCAGCTTCTTTTCGGGCTCTTTGCCTTTGCCTTTCTTTGATGCTTTCGACTTGGATCGGTTGACGGCACATTCGCCACAGTAGACCTAAAAGATTCGTTAGGACAATAAAACATCCGGGGCGATTTCAAAGCCACTTACATGCCCACAGTTTTTCACAACCCAGACCTGCTTTTTAACATCTCCTTTCCCAACCGCCAGTTCGTCACCGCACATGGGACACAGGATGACATCCTCCTCTCCGAAAGTCCTGATAAACCCTTCTTTGGCAGTTGGGGGCCCTTTGTAAGGCTCGGGCACTTCTTGAGGTGTTTCAGAGCTGCGATCAAAGACATCGAAATCAAGAGGAAACCCGGGTTGTCTGTAATCCATGTTGATGACGATAGTATCATCGACACCGTCGTTCCCAAACCGTCCATCATGACCACGAGGCGGAACTCCGTCCAAGCGATCCAGGAACCCATCACCGTAGCCAGGGGCGACGTGCTGCACGTTCCCAAACATGAATTGTGTTCCCCTCCTCAGGATGTCTAGAGATAATCCCAGTGGACCTCTTTCTAAGCGAGGCCGAGGGGGGTAATTCCCGACATTAGTCTGGACTGCAGCCTCCTGACGTTGGCGTTGGGGCACACGCCTCTCTTCAACAAATTCGACTTCTGGACTTTGACTTGGAGAAAGGGAGGCGACCGAGTCGGTGTCGAGCGTTTCCGTGTCCACCGGTATGTCAAAGTCATCTGTTTCAAAGTCCGACTCGTCGGTGTCTGAAAGATTAATTATCTCGTGTGGTGCATCCTGTGCTCTTGGGCCAAAAGGGGGGGCACGGGTGGATAGTTCTCGGTCCGGCTCTGCAAGTTCCTGTTGCCTCTGTGCAGGTTCTGGGCGTCTCTGTACATGAGGTTCATGCTGTCGTTGCCTTCGTGTACTTTCGCCTCGATTCCGTGCGGTGGCTTCTCTTACTCGCGCGAATTCCCGCTGCTGTTGAGCTATCTGTTGTGACTGTGCTAGTGTCATCCATGCGCTGACGAGCAGTTGTCGCGTTGGTCTTTGGGAGGGCTGACTAGACGCTTGCCTCGAGAGTTGATGTGGAGAGGATTCCGAGGCAGTGGAAATGTCATCGCTGTCACTTTCCGCTGTGAGATCGATCGTGAAATCGTGAGGGGCAGGGGCTGCAGTTTCTCTGGGGGCCTGTGTGGACATGGCCGGCGTTCGGTAGTCGAAACCGTCGCCTTGAAACCGTATTCTTCCTTCTGAGTGTTGTGGTGTCGAGTCCCGAGAAGGCTCAGGTGTTGGACGATAGTTGATGCGGCGGCGCTTGGAGGGCACCTGGTCGGGGGTAGCACTTCGACTTTGTGATCGGGTTATTTCTGCATGAGATCTCTGTGACTGCGGTTAGATGGTGATTGTACTACTTAATAATATGTGTGTATGTTTGAACGGGGATGACATTCTGAGAGAGCGAGAGTGGTAATCGAGATCCTACCTTTCGACTGGATGAGGCCGATGCCGAATTCAGGAAGTTGCTCAGAGCGAGAGTGCCTGCAGGAGGCATGATCAAGACACCTGTGAAGGCAGGCTATGGTCCTCGAATCGACAATGTCATAAGGGCAAGTTGTTTGAGAAGGTCAGGGCGCAGTTGTTGAGAAGGCAAGGAGATGAAGTGAGGTACGATTTGGGATTGTCGTCTGGGCACCAACGGAAAAACCCTCGCTAACCAACAGCCAGTGAAGTGGAAACAATGGGCCGACCAGAAGTTGACACCGGGATGGATGCCGGTATGACAGGCGAGCGCGACTTGACAGATAGGCAGGGGGATGATTAATAAAAGGGGAAGACTGAGGAAGAAGTGAGAAGAGGGGCAAATGCCAGCCTTGAAAATGGCCACCTGCGCTCTCTTTGTTCTAATGGTTTGGTGGTTCCTGGTGGCCCTGATGAATTGTTGTTTGGTTTCCTTCTGCGCTTCGAGGGGTTTTCGCAGATCATTTGCCACTGCCGCAAAGGACCTTTCGAGGCTCTTAAGGCCGCTGATAAATCCGCCTGCGCCTGTAATAAGAGAATATCACCACCACTAACACCACCGACAAGCCCTAGAAGCCGGCACTGGCTGGGTCCGTTGTATTTGTTTGTACATATCATTGCCAGATGATAAAGACGCCATCTGTCGACGCAACTTGCATTCCATTTTGGTGTGACACTGGTCTTTTCTTTGCCTATTTCTTTTTTCCCTTCAAATCGCAGCAACATAACCAGGAGACCCCCGCAGGTGCCGCTGTCTGCAGCTCACATCAGTTATGGGTATCAACGCTGCTTTCCATCCCTCCATGACAGTATACAAATGGCGCAGAACCGTTTATCCCTCCGTCGCCGCTGCCAGGGTGGTAATCGCACCGTCTTCATTGAGAGTGTGAAGACTCTGAGCATGTTTGCCCCATGCAATCCGTGTCGCTGGGGTGCCTCGCTTCAGGATTTCGGTCCATTCTTTTGACGCCTTGGAGTAGTGTTCGACCGTAACTCCATCTTGCCCAGCCACTCCCAAGAACTGTCCAGTGTAGTCCCAGCTGATGGATTCAATTTGGCTGCCCGTCTCGATAGTTGTGATTTCGGCCGCTTTTCTCAGGTCCCAGATCGAGATGGTCGATGACTTCTCTGTCACACCCGCCAGCCAGATACCATTCTCCGAGAAGAAAATACATCGCACAGGTCCGCCAAGGTCGAACGTAGCAGCTTCCGCACCAGACTTGACGTCGAATATCTTAATTTGGCCGTCGGCACCACCGGCCGCCAATAAATGGCCGTCAGGGTGGAATTGAGCACAGCGAAGACCTGAATCAAGTAAGCACGCAGCCGAGTAAGAGCGAGGGGGAATTACGAGGGGACATACTGGAGTTGCTCGAAACCTGAGTGAGAACCCGACTGGATTCAAGGTCATAGAGAATATATGTCCTGTCCTCTCCGACAGAAGCCAGAATGGTGCCACTGGGATGCAGAGCCACCGCATTGGTCCGTCCGGCGTGGACTGAGAAGGACGAGACTTCCTGCTGTCCCTCGAAGACCTTAACTGCGCCCGCTGAGGTTGCGACGACTGCCCTGTCGTGAGCCCAGAGACCGCTTGTGGCTTCTCCCTCGCCAAAGTCGAGCGGGTATGATAACGTGTCCTCCGATAGTGAGTAGACTCCAGCTTTGCTGCCTGCGGCCAGGGCCAGGGCTCCCGTCTCGTGTACTGCAAGCACGCGGCCACCAGGAAACAATGGTTTGGAGGTTGATCTCGATGTGTATGTCGATATTGAGTCCGAAGTGGCCCATTCTTCGGGCACTGGTCGTTTTCGCCGGGTCTTGGACAAACTGGGAAGATTCATCAGTTCCTGGACAGCATGGACAGAAGGCAGACATACCTTGATTGTGTGTTTTCAATCTTCTCCACGATCGCTTGCGGTAATGGAGCGCTGTCCACTTGCATTGCATCACCATTTGTGCTGGCAGAAGCCCCTCTAGTAATGTTTATTTGTGCCAGTGTTGCTCGTGCCTCATCTCTCTCTCTCGTGAGCTGTGCAATAACTCGCACCGCTGCATCATTTTCGTACAAGGCAGTACTGAGCTCCTGTCGAGCTTGGTGAAGATTCTGTTGCAACGTGTAGGTCTGAAGTGCCAAAGCATCCCATTCATTCTGGAAGAAGGAGAGCATCGCAGGTATGGAAGTCATCTGCGGAGGTCGTGGATAGACGACATTGGGACTTTTGAGATCGATAAGGTCTTCGACGGTCAGGCTCTCGCCGGTGGTGGGTTCGGTCCCATTTTCGCTGATATATGCTTCAATCAGGCGCTTTTCGTAGACATTGCCTGCGACTGTCAGACCCGTGATACTTGGAGGGATACACATGTATCTTGTACGCACCACTCTTGCGTGAGGCCACAGGAACCTGCGCCGCTTCTCCCGAGACTGTCATGGCATTAGTCGCGAACATGCGCAAGACGGACGAAAGAACCTACTTGCGCACAGCATGGTGGCCGAGGCTGCTTCAACACACAAAAGTGATGCTTCGAGAGATAGGTCTCGAATCTCACCTGAGATTTACTTCACGACCACTCTCTTGCTGTGACAAAAAACCTACAAAAGTCCACCTGCACGTTCTTTCGTTTGAGGCTTTGCGACTGAGAATCAAAAGCCAAATTGTTATGCTCGGCAAATATTCCTCTTTGGGCCTCCGCCTCGTCAGGTTTTCGTCGCCAGCCTCGAGACATCAAGATGCCTATTCCCCTAGTTGCATGACCTGGACCATCCGCATTCTGCATCCCCTCATCAACCGTAAAAGTGCCGTGAGGATCCTTCCTACCGATCTGCTTTCAAGTGGCATGGAGTCTCGTCTTGACTTCTCGGTAATCTCACTTCTGTCTGCTCACCATGGCGGACGCCGCCCTCCCATACCATGAGCCTGGAATCATTACAATCCTAGTCCAGTCGTCTTTCTTTCTGGTCTTGAATGTTCTAGGCACTGCGCTGGATCATGTTTTCTACTGCGGTCTTGTGGGCCAAGTCCTGGTTGGAATGGCTTGGGGAACACCCGGCTCGAAGATGTTGTCTCGTGAATTCGAGGATGCGGCCACGCAGCTTGGTTACCTGGGCTTGATCGCGATTGTCTTCGAGGGCGGACTGGCAACTTCGGCTAAGTCTCTTGGGAGCTCCCTGTTACTGTCTATCTGCGTGGCCCTCACCGGCATATGTCTGCCAATGGCCCTGTCTTTCTCTCTGACGGGAATTTCCCATGCGACCAACTTACAAGCCTTTGCAGCCGGAGCGGCGCTGTGCTCAACAAGCCTAGGCACCACATTTAGCCTTTTGAAGACGACGCGCCTGACCACGAGCCGTCTGGGCACGATCCTCACCAGTGCCGCAATGTTGGACGATGTTGTCGGGCTGATCATGGTTCAAGTCATAGCCAATTTGGGCTCCGGTCGTGGCTCTATTTCAGCGACCACAGTCATACGGCCGGTTTTTGTATCCCTTGGCTTTGCCATCGTCATTCCCATAACCTGCAAATTTTGGGTGAAGCCAGCTTTACCTCACGTCTTCGGGCTATTTGTCAAGGTGAGAGAGAAACTTGCTCTAATGGCACTGGATCAAGACATGAAGATATTCTTCCTCTTGTCAACGGCATTTTTAGCCGCCTTGGTCACCGCGGCAAGCTATGCTGGAACATCAAATCTATTCGCCGCCTATCTAGCAGGAGCTACCATATCCTGGCTGGATGAAGCTAGTCTACAGACCACAGAGACTCGATCCCAAAGGAAACATTCGGAGAGAACAAAACTTCAAAGCCATGCAGTCAATGTGTCCTCCAATATCACATCAGAACGATCCGAGGCGTCTCAATCTGCTAGTGAGGTCCCAGATTCAAAGGAAGAGATATCCCAAGACCATCAGCCCCCTCTGTCGCCGCTGTTGAGGCTATCCGGTGAGCTCACGCCGCCTCCAGAGAATCCAAGATCGGTAACGACTGTCAATCAAGATTCAGGAGCGGCCGATATCCCTGACGCTCTCGACGTGGAGAGCCGTGGCCTCCGGATGTACAACCACTACTATGCACCTGCGGTGGAGCGGGTCCTGAAGCCATTTTTCTTCGTAAGTTTTACTCTGTCCTCCACTTTTCTGCACGTGTTTCCTCCTTCTACAGGCCGCTCATGCTCATGCCTTTTCCCCAGGCCTCTATCGGCTTTTCCATCCCAATCACCAAGATGTTTCGCGGCCCTGTCATCTGGCGCGGGCTAGTTTATGCGTTGTTCATGGCTATCGGCAAGCTCTTCTGTGGCATGTGGCTGGTTCGCTTCTTCAACTCTTCGCCACCGCCGCCGCCGACGTCGCAGTCTTCGATATCCAACAAAACCCGCAAGGATAAGCAGCAAGGGAAGAAACAGGTTACCCTAACGCGCAGGTCCCTCCCCCGGCCAAAGTCTCTCTATCCAGCGTCGATCCTCGGCTGCGCAATGGTCGCTCGAGGCGAGATTGGATTCCTGATCTCCGCGCTCGCCGCAACCAACGGCATCTTTACAAGCAGGCGAACGACCGGCAGCGGCGATGGCAACGACAACGACAATGCCGCGGCCGTGGGTGGAGACGACGGTCTTGTCTCGGACCTATACTTGATCGTCACGTGGGCTATCCTTCTCTGCACCATCGCCGGCCCGCTAGCCCTGGGATTCCTGGCGAAAAGGGTCAAGAGGCTGCAAGTGGAAAGGGCACGAGATGGTGGCGGTCACGGGACAAAGGAGGACCCGCTGGGCATCTGGGGCGTCAATTAGTCCTTTTTGAATCTCTGTGCGAGATGTGACCGGGTCAGAAAGGGCGGGTGTCTTCAAGTTTTGGGGCAAGAGGCCTAGTCAGCCAGCCAGCTAGCTAGATATAAAGGCCTATAAGAGAGAGTATCAACTAAATTTGGGGTTATCTGGAAGTGATTCTTACAAACAATCCTGAAAATTCCAATTCTTGGGACTTGAGAAGTGTGATCACAAAGGGTCTCCGGCAACAAAACACTACTAGATGCAATTTTCACGCGGAACTTGAGCAGAGTGCAAAAATCACCGACCCGCCATCCAGTATCCCTATCAGCTAACAATACCCATATTTTCGCCGTGTTTCCCCGATTCGTTTGACTGCTATGGACCCCTACCCTGCATACCTGAGTGCTGTGTGCTGCGTGCCTTATCACCTAGCGAGCAATTTCCCGACGAGATCCTTACCTTTGCCATCCTTGATACTCATGGCCTGGTGCGCCAACGTGTCGAGAAATCCTGTCCTCTTTCCATTTTCGCCTCTCCTCGGCGCGTCAAAGGTCGGGTCAGAAACTTCGTCAGGCTCAACAAAGCCGTGGTGTTGTTGTTGTTGTTGCTGGCGCCGCTGTCGCCTATTGTCGTAGTGTGGAGGCGATGCGTTGTCGGGGTACGCGTACAGATTCGAAGTAGATTCTGACGCGTTTTGTGCGGTCGTATCGTACCCGTGGACGTGTCCATAGTGGTCCTGGTGGTTGTAGCCGTGCGGCAAGGGTGAGTAGGCGCTGTTACTCGTCGTCAGGACCTGAGGGTGGCGATCTTCCTGCTGCTGTTGCCGGCGTCTACCTCCGCGTGGCTCGGTGAACTCCAACGGCACGACGTTTTCCTGCGGCGGCGGATGCTGTTGTTGATGATAGGCCCGTTTCTCATCCTGATATGGGTCACCGGGGGAGTAGTATGGAGGTTCATCGAAGTATTGTTGATGGAAGTCCCGGTCTTGTGTGGGGCCCGGTGCAGGATTCGTGCGAGGATTCTGGTTCGATTTGGACATCTTCTTCACAGCATAGATGCCCACGCCGGCAATGATGGCAGTCTTGATCATGCCCATGATGGAGAGGACGTTTGTGTATCAAGTTTGGAGGCGAGTAACAGGGTTTAAATTCCTTGTCACAGTTTTGTCAAGAAGCCTTTACTGTGTTCCTTTTCTGCGAGAATACACCCGGTAATTATGATGGTCAAGGTCTGTGATAGACACTTACTCAAACTGCAGGATGTCCAGGCAATTTTATACATTTACACGTCCCCATACCGAAAGATGGAGGGCCTGGAGAGTGTTACAACCGTCCTTTCATAGCCCTTGAGCCACGCCAGCAAGGCCATCGCAAGCAGCGACCCTATGTAGTAAGTGCAAAGCAACTGAACAGTATACATGCATAGACGAAAGCACTAAGGAGAGGTTTAACAGCCACTGAGAGCGTCATAGGAAGTTTATGTCGTTCGGTCGGGGGGTTCGGTGAGGCTGTGCAGAAAGGGTTTGGGCTCGAGATCGTCACAGGACTGCGCCTTGGTATCAGGCAGCTGCGAATAATGGACCCGTGCTAATCGGACCAGGTCATAATGCTTGAGGTATCTCTAGTGTTTGGGAGATATGCCTGACAGTAGATGACGGCTTTGGGAACAATTACCTCTGTCCATGGATGGAGCCAGTATGAGGAAAGAATTCACGGAAAATGGCAGATTCAGGGAGACCGGGGAAAGGATTTTGCGGCTCCGTCCCTTTTAGGCAGTTATCCACTAATCCTATTCTGGACTTCACCCTGAATATCAAGGTCTCAGTTAATAAACAAGGACAGGCTTCTTCTTTGACAAGATTACCAATATTGTCGTCTAGGAGCTCCTTCCCAGTAATCCCAGAAATGAAGTGGTCGACTCTACAAATGAATGCAACCATCATGAGGAGACCATTAAGCACTGACAGTCGACCAACTTGTACACCGACAACGTCTGACATTGTACACTCCTCCAACCGCGGAGCATTTCGTTCCACAACACGTTCTCTGTGTTAAGCTGTACGAGTCTGGTGGTCTATCTGCTAGTCGTTGACGAGCAGGTCTGGATGCATGATTGCTTACAAGACGGACTATTCAGTATAAGTTGGTGCATGCTTGCTTATGTGAAGCAACAGTCTCGTGGTCGCTTGGTGCTGCTTCATTATGATCAGTCAATTGCTTCCGAACAATCGAATTTCCAGCGAGACTCGCCAGACAGCAACATCTCACCATGCTTAACACGACCTTTGGGAAATCATCGTACATGCGAAAGCCACCGACTCGGACACTGCTTTGGTCCCAAGAAAGATTCTTCGAGCTAGGCGTATCATGTCGTGGTAACTGGTCTGACCACCAGATGGATGATGGATCACAGCTCTCTACGAGGTATCCAAGTCACTATTCCACACAGCTAGGAAACGACGTTCGAATGATTTGGTTAGTTCTCGGTGAGAACGCATTCGAACCTGCCGGAAGAGTTCGTGGGCATGTTTGCGTTTGTATCATCGAACAAAATGGAAAGGCAAGTCGACGTGTCGCGTTGTCACAAGCCAGGCGCTGAAGTAGCATTTCCCCCTGAATGTCTGAATGTTTACTGCGTTCCCCCTCGACCCTTTCATCGTCTTCCTTGGGCAGGAGAATACCTGCCCAGCTACCTATGAGTAGTAACTACCGAGTACAAAGTACAAGAAGCGGCTTGTGCAAGTACACTGTACAGTTAAAAGCTAGGTCAGCACGAAAAGGGAGCCTCGCGTGCCTCGGTGAGTGGTCTTCGGCGGAAGTTGACCAGGGGCGAAAAGAGCCCACAGGGGCCACCGACCACGGGCCTGCACGGGCTATTACCAGCCTACCTGGACAACCTGGGCAACCTGGCCACCTAGGTAAGCCCGCCTAACAAGCCTAACAAGCTCAGTGCCCAAGGAGTGCCTAGTGCCTAGTGAGCTACCACGCCTACAAGTACGAGTAAGCACGCTAGGGGCCACAGGCGGCCCCCAAAGGCCTCTTAGCTGATTAATAATTCACTCGCACTTCGTACGAGCACCCACGATTTAACAGGCTCCAACGGCCCGTATCATCAACCGAGGCACTAAATTGCGAGATTGACGGTTGATGCAACGGCGTCAACTCTGTAAAAGTTAATGTTGATCTCGACAAGTACCGAGTACCACAATACAAGTAACATCTACAGGTATATAATGGATATATATAAACAGATTTATTTTCTAGGGGAAAAGACTCAGTCTTTTGGGGATGTCGCGGAAGTTTTGGCCATCGCTCAGGGGCAGGCGCCAAGAGCGGGCAAATAGTGTGATAAGGAAACGCCCCAGATGTCAAGAGCTGTTCGGCCTAGATGTGACCATATGTACTTACGTCCCGGCGACAGACCTGATCATCATACCCTTTCCAAGCTGCACCTCTATTTTTCCATACCATGTTTCCTCCCATCCAATCCAGACATACATACATACGTAGCCTTCTGCTCTGGCAGTAATAGTGGTGGTAGTATAGTACAAAGATTCCACCCCGACATTCATTCCCTCATTTCAGTCCTCACTTCCCACTGGACATCCTTGCGGATCATATACCGTTGGCTCTCGTCGCTGTTGATACTGTTCCTGGCGGCTTCTCCCCTGGAGGCTCTGGCGCCGGACCACTGCACCGTGGTGGACGCTGTAGGCCCTCCAGCGAGCTGTTCGGCCGTCAACGCCTTCGGGTGGCCGCCGTAATATCCGTCCTGGTCGTCGTTGACGGAGGGCATCGCGGCGCTCTTGTTCTTGGACCTCAGAGTGGACAGCTGGAACCCCTTGGAGTGCTGGCCATGGCTGCGGTTGCCGCTGCCGTACCCATACCCGTAGCCGTATCCGTTGCTGGTGGCATGCATGCCGCCGAACCCGGTGCTCAAGCTCTTGAGGAAGTTGTGGAAGATGGGCACAGTGGCCGACACCAGCGAGTAGCTCATCTCGCTTTGGGTCCAAGCGACGAAGCTGGATTCACGGAGTAGAGGGTTCGTGGTATAGGCGCTTTGGTCGAAAGTGTGCAGTCGGAAGGCGATGAAGATGACGAGGCTTTTTTGGCGGGAAATCAGCTTTGATCACCCTAGAAGGAAAGGGAGCAATGAAAAAAAAACTTACAACAGGCGGATACCAAAGATTGACAGTACCGTCATTTTGCTCGATACTGATGTCTGCAGGTCGTAGACCAGGTAGCCGACCAGGGCGATAATGGCGACTTCAGTCACGATGTCGAGTGCACCAATGACTTGCCACCGTCGAAGCTTTGAATAGTCCGTCTGTCAGCGTTCTAGAACCTCCAGAGAGGACTTCTCAGAAGGAATTTTTTGAGACTTACAATTCCCGGACACTTCTCACCAACGGTCAACCACGCATGGGAGAGATTGCATTGAAAGGCCACGGCCAGGAAAGCGCCCACGGTCCAAACCCCCAGGACTCCCATAGCGATGTTAAAGACCAGCCTGTGTTGCTTCATGCGCGAGATGCGGTGGAGGAAGGAGACGAGCGAGATCTTGGCCAGGCCGATGACGACGATAAAGAACAAATTGCTGGTGTAATACATCTTTTGGACCTCATTCTGCGATTCCAGCGGCACCAGATGCAGTGCCTTGCCCAGCCCCTTGGAGCATGCTGCCAGGATGACCGACGACTGGATGATGGCTAAGGCGGTGGCCGCATAGAAGAGATAGTCGTCGGTCCCGATGCCGTGGCTGATGGTGGTGCGAACGACTGTTCTGATGCCGGCAAAGAACAGGATACAGGCCAGGCCGAAGGCCGTCGAGATCAAGATATACGCCTCATGATCGTCGGGGGTCACGACGGCGAAGGGGGGCGACTGTCCCGGGGGAATTGTGATACTCGACTGCGAGGTCATGATGAGCGCTGAGTACCAAGTGGTGAGGACTCAGCACTGCTGCAGTCTGCCCACACACAACGGGGGCACAACGAATGTGCGAAAAAGTCAATGGTTGTTCAAGAATGCAAGGATCGAAGTTTACTCGTAAAGACGGGATGGTTGGTTGGGCACGCACGGCTCTGTAGAGAAAATGAATGGCCAGGCACAGACGAACCAAACCCACGCGCTTATACAACAGGTCTCGTAATAATAATAATTATTCATAGACGCGGGAACGGAATGCCTTTCATACTATCAAGGCTGGCCCTTTGATTTCTTTTCCCTCGTATCTAGTCGGTCTCTCACCCTACTCCTCCACCTTCTTCGTGCCTAACTTCTCTTACTCTCCCGTCACCTTACGAATGGAACAAGGAGCATCCCAAAATATCGCTCCCATCCCCAAACCCCCCCTGTCAACTTGCATCAGTCAACGTCGCATTTCCCTGTGCGAAGCTTCATATCTAATAGGCGCGTCAACGCCACTTTGGACCATGGCTAGTCTCTGCGAGGGAAGGATCTGCAGAGCCGTTTGTGATGAGGGGGGTGGTCCATCAGCCTATCTTCTTTGCCTCAAGCCTCTCGTTCCTGTTCCTGCGCACCCTGGTCAGTTGTCTGTGGAGATGAGGGTGACGGGGGATTCACGGCTCCGGCGCCCGAGGGCAGAAGCTCCCCGTCAAGTTGTTGCCTATCACAGCGCACGGACGTGGCGGACCGTGACGGACCTCCCTATTCCAGCTTAGTGGATTTCGTCATGGCAGGGATTAACGTTTAGTGTGGATTTGCTATTCGTACGTACAATAAAATGTGCGATGTGGAAGGTACATACCTACTGGGCAAGTACGAGTGGGCAATTTGAGAGTGAATGTGATGGTGGTGGTGATGATGATTATGGCAACGAAACAATTGACAGAACACAGGGGGTTTTCCCTCACACTTCACAAACTCTCTTACTCTCTCTCTCTCGCCAATTCAAGAGACTATCTTGGGAGGAGTTTTCTCTCTCCATTCAATTATCGTGTACTTGTCTCCTTCTTGCTCCTGCACCCTCCACTTCCGTCCTCCTGCATATCCATATATCCCTCGTATATAAGTGCCCGCAGTTTCCCCCCTCCCCGGCTGTGAGAACTTAATCGGAGGCCTGGCCACCTGGCTCACTTAACCGACGGAAATGTTCTGCCCCAAACTCTCACCTTACCTTGGTCAAGCCCCTCTTAATTTCTCGTGGATGTGATAGCTACCTAGCTATGTGGTCCTTGCGTACACAAGAATGCATGGCCACTAGTCTGTCGACAAGGGCCTCCTTCGAACGCAATGGGTCTCGAAGAAAGTCGCAAGTTGTTTGACTCGGTGTTCGTCCTCTTCTCTGTGTTCGAGACCGAAAATTGCCGCTGCTGCCGCTAATGCATGTAGGTTACGACTTATCATGCACGTCCCACCTCTCTCCTATCCCACTACAGTGGCATTGGTTTCAAGCCTCTCATGCACTGTACTGTGCATAACTCGTCGTTCAAGGGTTGGGAGGCAAATAGATCAGCGGGAATCTTGCCCGAAACAATGCAAGTCAAGAAGACAAGGGGGTTGGCACGGTGTGTGGACACTGGCAGCGTGGCTGAACCATTCGATACAGGGCACGGCCGTGAAACTGTATGATTAGGTACTGAATGGAGTAGGTGCTGGGGTGGTTTCTTCCCATCTCCCCGTGGCATGGAGCAGAGCAACCCATGTTTAAACTAGGGAGACGACGAAGGATCTCGCGAGCAGCGCGAGCAGTTCGCTTCATAACCGTAGGAGTCGTAGTCACAGTCGTAGTTAGTGGCCACGCATAGCGCGAGAAACGCTTACCCCGTCGTGCCCTTGTACCGAGTACGAATTGATCTGCCACATGGCAACCGACCTGACTTGACTGACCTCCCCTTTCCACCACCACCATCCTCCTTTCAACAACTCTTCCTCGTCCCTTTTTTCCCTTCTCCCCCACCAGCAACCATCTTTCCCTTTTTTTCCTTTTCTCTTTCTGCTTTGCGTCTTCTCAAAAGTTTCCCCTCGGACAAGACAACATGGCGGCGTCGTTCCACCTCGATGGCAAGCAGATGAAAAATGTGAATGTCACGGATGCGCCAGGCTCGCCTCCAGACGGTGCTTCGGACGAGGTCTTTGACGATGGACTCAGCCATGTGGCCGAGAAGTTTAGAGGCACCTCGGCCGACAAGCGAGACATGATGATCATGGGCAAGAAGCAGGTGCTGCGTGTAAGTGTGAGGTAGAGAGACAAAGTGGTGCGCGGGCTGACCGGTTCCTTATAGCGAAACTTCAGCTTCATCACAATGCTGGGATTCGCCTCGACTTGCATTGCCAGTTGGGAGGGTATCCTAACGTATGTAAAAAAAAAATCCAGCTTCTCCCTTCTTCGCGATGTGGTTCGGTTGAATCTGATGCTCAACAATTCACAGATACCTCGGATTCGTCTTGACCGATGGCGGCCTTCCCCTCCTGTTCTGGGGCTTTATTGCATGTGGCATCGGCCAGACTCTTGTCTATGCCAGCGTTGCGGAAATGGCGTCCATGTAAGTGCGAACAGTATAGACCCTTGTAATGTGGTCGCACCGTCGCTGATCATCATCTGCTTTCGACAGGTCACCCACAGCTGGAGGTCAATACCACTGGGTGTCAGAGTTTGCTCCGCAACGGTTGCGAAAAGTCTTGAGCTACTACTCTGGTAAGTGGATTTGTGTTATATTGCTTGTGTTGTCTTGTTTGTCCTTGGCAACTGACAACCGCCTCTCAGGCTGGCTCACTGCTATCGGCTGGCAGGTGTATAATGCCAGTGTGTGTTTCTTGGTCGGCACCATGATCCAGGGATTGATCGTTCTGAATGACCCGACATACATCTACAAGAGATGGCACGGGACACTCTTGTCCATGTCCACCACCGTCTTTTGCATCTCTTTCAACACCGTGTTGGCGTCTCGGTTACCAATCATCGGTATGTACAGTCTTGGGAGTGGCCGGGCAAGAACCAGTATCGTTTCAAGGCTGACTGTCCTGGGGTACAGAGGGAATGGTTCTGATCCTCCACATTGTGGGCTTCTTCGCCATCGTCATCACCCTCTGGGTCATGGCACCGCGTGCCGACGCACACACGGCGTTGCTCGACTTCACCAACAACGGCGGCTGGGCGAGCGACGGTCTATCGGCGATGATTGGGCTGCTGGCTCCAATGGCTGTGCTGGTTGGATATGACTGTTCCGTTCACATGTGTAAGTCTTTCTCGCGGCCAACTATCTGTCGATCCTCTTCCCAAGAAAAGGGTCAAAGCAAAGCTAATCTCGTTGATTCTCTTACACCTTTCAGCCGAAGAAATCAAAGACGCCTCAGTCACGCTGCCTCGCGCGATCATGGGCTCTGTCACTGTCAATATTACCCTGGTCTTCGTCCTTATCACGACCCTGTGCTTCACGACAGGTGATCAGACCTCGGCGGCCACGTCAGCCACGGGCTACCCATTCATCCAGGTCTTTTACAACGCGACCAACTCGTTCGCCGGCACCAACGTCCTGACGGCCATCATCATCGTCATGATGGCCGCGTGCGCCGTGTCTGAGGTGGCGGCGGCGTCGCGGCAGATCTGGGCGTTTGCGCGTGATGGTGGGCTGCCGGGTTCGCCGTGGCTCGCGCGCATTTCGCCTGGGTGGAACATCCCACTGCCAGCGGTGACGGTAACGCTGCTCGTGTCGGCGCTGATCTCGCTCATCAACATCGGTTCGACCGTCGCGCTCAACGCCATCACCTCGTTGGGTGCCATCGCCACGCTCATCTCCTACTTCCTCACCATCGGCTGCGTGTTGTACCGACGCCTCACGGGGCCCGAGCTGCCCCCTCGTCGCTGGTCACTGGGCCGCTGGGGTCTGCCCATCAACGCTGCGGCCCTACTCTTCCTAACACCGCTGATCTTCTTCCTGAGCTGGCCCCTGACAACGCCCGTCACGGCCGAGACCATGAATTGGTCAAGCACCATGCTTGGAGGCTCCCTGATCATCGCCACCGCATATTACCTGGTGCGGGGCAAGAGCTCGTACGTGCCACCCGTTGTCCACGTCAAGCGCGATATGTGATGAAGCGCGAAAAAGCAGAGCAACCTGTGTTTATGTTTTTTTGTGCGTCTATTTTTGTGCGTGCGCGTATGTGTGTGTGAACGTGCGTTTTATTTGGAAAAGACCATGACATACAATATCGCCATTCTTTCGAATTTCTGGATATTACTGGGGAGATTTCCCGACAGTGTACGTGCGTGGGTGGAATTTGACGTGGTGGTGAAATTTGGGTTCGGGAGCTAAGATCCATTTCCCGTTGAGCCTTTTTTTTGTCCCGCAAAAGAACTAAGGAGGGCGGCGGCGAGCAAAAATCCATCAAAATCCCTCTTGTATAGACTTTTCACTTTTTGGAGTAAGGGAGAGAGAGGGAAGTGCCATGGGAGCAGGAGAGGCGAGAAAGAGAGCGAGACTGAAAGAGAGACAGTCAGTGTATATAGAAGAGAGGAAGAGAGAGAGAGAGAAATGGGAAAATGCACATAGATCGAGACCCGAATATACCGAGTACACTATACCGAGCCTAGCTTATATTCCTCCTTTGAGCATAACAAATGGTGACAATCTATGTGTATGTGGGCGTACATAGTAGACTATCTATGTATGTGTGCGTGTGTCTATACCGAGTATACCCTCGTGAGTCTTTACCGCGTGGACCTCTGATGGAGAAACCCAGTCACATATTTCCTTAGGTACTTAACAATGTGGGCAACCGAAACCAGAAAGGGGGAAAAAAAGCGAACTTGTTTGGTACCCGATACTCGATACCCCTAACACACAAAGATACAGGAAATGAGGTATGAGTATCAGGGGAACGTACATGCGCGGTATGTACAGGTGCGCTATGCGCGAATGCGCCACGTTATGCGTAGCAGGCAGATAGAAAAGCTGCAG